AAGAACCCGCAATTAATCCAGAGAAGTCTTAATGCACGGTCTCCGACAGCGATAACAACCTTTATATACGTTTTTCTGATTATTGTTAAGAAGTGTCATGTTGTTCTTATACTTCATACTGAAGGGAATGTGAACTCTTGATTGTGCCAAAATCAAGACCCGAGCGCTGAATGATTTCAATAGATTTCATTATTAAACAGACCCACATGCTCAAATTTTCTACTTCCCGTTGAGAAAAAATGGCAGCTTTTGCACCCTTGGTTTGTGAAATTTCATTGTTTTTCGGTTTGATGAATTAACCATGGACCGTATACACGGAAACGCGCTAATCAAATTCGTACCAAAAAAACGTCTAAAGGAATTTGTGGTGGATTGATCCCCATATTGGCGTATTTTGACTAGACTAGGCCTATTACGTTAAATTACTGTCCCAACATGTTGATGTGATCGTATATTGGCGTTGCCCATGTCTGTCCACATGAAGTATATTAACCCCTATCTAATGCAAATTTTACTTACATTATTGCCCGGGTAACGGTCTTCTAATTCTTTAATATCCATAGATTTATACGTCATAGCCATGTTTAATTTTTAATCAGATACTGAACACTTTTTAAAAAACAATTTAAAAATCATACTTGGTATTACAACAATATCTTATAACACTTTATAGGCGATAAGCACTAAAAAAAACATTGCCGTTTAAAGTCTATTTTTTCTATAACCACAGCTCTTAAGTAAATTTACTAAAATCTCTAATTATTATCAAATACAGATAACATTAAACATTATTAAGCTTTTTTTTTCAGTGTGTGTGTCTTTCATCTTGTCGTCAGAATAACTGTGTGTTTATTTGATATTTTCTGACTTATACATATTATAAAAATATAGTTCAATAATAAACTCAATTTATCAATACCGTCATCAATTCAGATTCGTTTATCAATTTGATGAGCCAATTACAGTTAATAAAAGATATGTTTTTATACCATTCATAAATTTCCTAATTTACTCTAGACCACGTCGATGTCTAATGCATTTTTGATGTTAGGTTGGGCTTGTAGTCGTTGATGTTATCTAGTTTCCAGTTCAGCTCCTTTTGTTCATTTATTCAAATAGAAACCAAAAATAAAAGACTATTTATACTACACCACGCAGAAAACAAACTATAAATTTACAAAATCATATAAGGGAAGTATTGCTTAACAAATTAAATATTTGTCTAATTTGTTACGTAATTTGAATTTATAAGATACCTAGATTTATTTTCTCATATCTTTTTCAAGATTTATTTACTATTAAGCGTTAAACATGAAAAATAAATCATGAGTCAATATTGTTCAGGTCTTCGTCATCAAAATTCATTGCACAATGATCGAAATTCGATAGAATTATTTAAACATTGAATAAAATCTCTAAAATCATTGGCTTTTCTTTACACCGGAAGCAATGTCTGTAATTCAGCGATTTTAATTAAAACATTTCTGCAGGTCTAGAGTTTAGACAGACGTCATACTTCTTCACCTGTTGACTAATAAATTATATGCCCAAACGTCTCTAAGTACCACAAGAATTGGTTGAATTGGTGGCTCAGCGGGTGAGACGTTGGCTTGCTAACCTTGAGGTCCCGTGTTCGATCCATGTGTTGATCGAAAAAGTTCATAGGGATTTTCCTACGTGGTTCACCCAGTGATACATGATGTAGGTCCTGGCAAGGGATAACGTATAGTCGTTCGGATGGGACGAAAAACCGTGTACACATTGGCAGTTGAAATATTCCCCATGCCCTTCTTCATTAGCCCAGTCGAAGCAGAGAAATGGATGCTAAACCTATTATTAGTTTGGATGCAGCCATGGCGGGTGTGGCGCCAGACAGGGTAAGCTTACTCTTCCGGACACCTGTTACCACTGTTTGTCGTGTATTTTGTACACGGTGAACAGTCCATATGCTGATTACACTGTTTTGCCGTATTACACTATTTTGCCTATACCGTTTTTTTTTTAGGACTTCGAATTTTGTACTGGGTTTTATTTTATTCCTTTGAATTGAGTGGGCAAACTTTCGGGTATTAAAAGTAGCTAACCCTATTTGATTTCATTCAAAATAAAGTATTGACATGATTTGATGTGGGTCAAATGTGGGACATGTTATTTACATTAAATTTGTAGGACAGTTTATCTACGTTAAATTTCTGTTTTGAAAGACGAAGCTGAAATCGGTTATATCTAAACCATGGATTTATCCGTAGGTAGACACCGAATTTTCAAGGAAGACAGATTCGCAGCCCACAAAACAGAGAGAGAGAGAAATGGGGTTTAACGTCAACTCGACACAAACTAGGTCATTTCGGGACTAACATATGGTTTAATTTTATTTCAATAATTCGCTTGCGCGTAGGGGTCTTTAGCAGTGGGAGGAAACCGGAAGACCCGGAGAAAACCACGCCACGTACAACCGGGGATTCGAAACCACGCCAGTTGACTCAATGACAGGCTTTATGATACAGCGCACGCGTGCTAACCATTCAGACCCACCCCACCCACCCACCCCGCGCACAAAACACACCAACGAATGAAATAAGACTTATTTTAGACACAAATCAAAGAGATCTAGTCATTTCCTGGCTATGTTTGCTATTGGTGTTAGGGGTGCAATCTAATACCTTTTATTTTTTATAAAATTTCGGAACTCTTAATCTATTGGTTCCATACTCGCCCCCCCCCCCCCCCAAAAAAAAAACAACAACAATATATATATATTTTTTTTTTTTAAAAATCAGATGATAATTGGTTTCAGGATTATTGGAGGGGCGTTATGTTGGCAAATGGTTTAACGCGTGCGTATTACATAATAAGGTCTGTCATTGGGTCAAGTGGCGTGGTTTCAATTCCCCGCTTTTTATGAGACAAGGAGTAGGGCCGTCTGTCTAACCTCGTGGGTTTTCTCCGGTTTCTTCCTGCAGTTAAAGGCCCCCATGCGCAAGCGAGTTACTGAAATAAAATTAAACCATATGTTAGTCATGAAATGACCTACTTTGTGTGGTGTGAACAACTCTCTCTCTCTCGAGCATTAATAAAATGATCATGTAGTTTTAACTAGAATATAATAAGTGTAATTTTTTGTTTGTCCTTTATTATAGCATTCTATATTTAATTATTTACCGTAACTTGTGTCACTGTATAACACGCATCTATGTATGGCTGACTCCTACAAGTCTGTTTAGATATAACAAACTTCAACATATAAACTATGTTACAGTAACACTTTTAAACAGAACGATCAATGGGTCCTAGCAAATGTCAGAAGATTCTTGACGTATATTATCATACAGGAATATATAAATATATATATATATAGATCAAAGACCTATCAATTTGCATATTTATTCGGTCGGTCATATGTACTGTCGATTGTCAGGTTCCATAATACACCCACCAGCAACAAAGTCATACCTGCTAGTTCTAAAATCAGTGTCCGCAAATCCCACTGAGAAAGTTAAATTATGATTGAAATAATAAAGGGTTCTAAACTTATGATCCAAAACTTTTGTAATTCTTTCGAGTTCCCCTTATATAACAGAATTTAAATTTTCATTGAAAGTTCTGTCCTGTCTTGCGTTACCAAACTACCAGCAAACTGAACGAAAACGGTGGGTAGAACAGGTAGTATCAAAATCTTGGGGCAAACAAAATCCGTTTAATTGGGCACCGTTCATTCCCACAGACATATAATTGTAGGTATTTTCCGACAATACATACTTACACTTCTGCTAATTTTAAGGCTTATTCGATGAACATTATTCCGGACTAAGAGTAAAAATATAGAAATTAAATAATACTAGAAGAATGCCCGGCTTCGCTCGGGGGTCATAACTCCGAAACCGGAAGTGGTAGACTAACGCCACCTGGCCTATGTTACTCCCCGGTCCGAGCTACCCCTATACCCCAAATTTCAGACTCGGGGCAGACCTAGTGTAGCCGCCAACCCCAAACAGACAGACAAACAGACAAACAAACAAACAAACAGACAGACAGACAAACGAGTCACAAATATTAGTATAGATTCTTAAAGCATATTACAAATACCCCCTGTTACAAAACACCTCCACCCCCACAATACGCATCGTTGGTCTCCGTTTAATACGTAACAGGTGTCATTTTGTGTTGAACGCCAAGAAGATGAAGCAAGTAATCTGATCATCCCAAACTTAGGCTGCCTGTCTACAGCTAGCTCCGCCCAAGAACAGGCCCTAACCCGATTGACCGACATTTAAATTCCTAAATCGACGATTTTAGCCGAAACACTGAGTATGCTTTTAGAAAGTATTTATTTCTCTTCTATTGTCATATTGAATGAAATTAAATATGTTTATTTAGCCGTTGTGTGTATGAAAGATATCAAACTGCTCAGAGCGGAATCACTAATTATTCAATATAGCGGCACCCATGAAAGATAATTGCACAGAAGCAGTTTTGTTTGCGGAGACAAATTTAGGAGTATCTAAACTTGTTTTGAAAGATAAACAGACTGAAACTATAAAGACAGTTTACAATGGTAAAGACTGTATTTCAATATTACCCACTAGCAAATATTATATATCGCTTTTACCGGTGTGGCAGAAATCGACATTTTGCTAACTTGGCATTTGTTTACATAAACCACGTGCTTCGGGTGTACAAAGCAGTAGGCCAGTCGATAAGTCCCGCCCAAAGGTTTGGCAATAAATTGACACAACATAGGTTGCCAGACATAAAACATGGGTTTCCAGGCAGCAAACATACTCTTCCCCACAGTTTAGTCATTTGAACAGTTTTGAAATAAAGAACTGATTAACATGTCGGCATGTAAAATGGATGCATGATTCTGAATTTTGATAGAGATAATTTTTAAAATAAGCCAAATAATCCTAGAAACTAGCAATCACTGCATATTGTTTACAACAATTGCAGACAGGCCAATAATTGAACTGACAGGGCTGACATCCATAAACCAACATGTCTTATTTTTCATATTTTATTTAAAAATAGATCACATTTTCTAATTCTTATCAATATCAAAATCTTTCTTAAAGTCACTAGGATCACCATATAAAATCTGTTTCTCAAACTGTACAACTTGTAAATGATTTTTTTGACGGATAGCTTTAGCATTATCAGCACTTCTAAAATTATAGGTGAAAATGTCTGGGTGTCTATCACATATATCACTATAAACTTGACAAAGTCTGTTAAATTCTTCCATAGTTATCATAAAAGATCTTGAGTCGGGACTAACACCACTTCTATCAAACAGTTCTGTTACTAATTCTTGTTGATTCAAGGGAAATAATGTCCTGAAATAAAAAACAATCACTAAAACAATAGTGTAACTTTCATATGTTTATTTATTTATTATTTTGTTGAACATAATATAATGGAACCAGATCTAAGGTTTTTGCTTTGTTTTATTTTGATTCCAGATATTTCATTGATGATGATTAGGATACTAAGGGTTCTTATGAAGTGCTAGACAAAAAGCAATACTATATGGTCAAAAAGCTGACATAAAGATCCAGTAAAATAGCTTCTGAATATAAACATTTAAACAGGGTTTAAGATGTAGTTTGTATACTCTGAGAGATTGAATCATTTGTAAATTGAGCCCTAGAGTTCCATAGATGTGTTGCATTTAGAGGCAAATAATGTGCAACCAAACATCTTTAGGTGATAATATGGAACAGATAAAAAATGGGAACGAGATTGAAGGAATCTAGCTGTACAGTATTATGGATCCGGTAAAGTGAATTAGAAAAAATAGGTTGCCAGATTTCTTTCAAAAGTGGCCAGTGGTGTATCTACGGTATGGTAGGTACGGCAAGTGCTGGGTGCCTCTTGATATAAACAAGCCAGTGCCACCTGTTCAGTAAATCTTTTGATGAGCCCCTTTATAATCCCATTGAATCAAAGCTGGGAGATTACCTACTGTTCATATTTTCTATAATTAGGCCTAAATATTAAATAATCAATTTGAGTGTATTTTAATATTGATTATACCAGACATAAAAATATTAGATATTGTCTGAAAACGATCAACAGCTTTAATATTGGTGTTATATTATAATAAACTTACGCTGCTCCATGTTTACATTTTTTCTGTCTATACTGAAAAATATGTCTGATGAGTTTTTCTACGAGTTTAAAGGGAAGATCTATAAGAGGTTTTATCAGAGGAGTAAACTTGACCACACCCACATCCACCTTTGGTTGAGGAGTAAATGCTTTACCTATAAATATAAAAAAACCATTTATAAATAGTTTTTCTGTTTCTGATATGTTTATATTCATCTTCCTCCAACTATTATAAACTTTATATTTATACCCACTTCCAATCCATCTATTATCAACATTATATTTATATTCACCTCCTCCAACTATCATAACCTTTATATTTATACCCACCGCCCATCCATCTTTTATCAACATTTTATTTATATTCACCTCCTCCAACTATCATAAACTTTATATTTATACCCACCTCCCATACATCTATTAAAAACATTATATTTGTATTCACCTATTTCAACTACTATAACCTTTATGTTTATATCCACCATCCATCCAACTACTATAAACTTTATATTCATATTATCTGCCCATTCAACTATTAAAAAACTTTATATTTATATTCACTGCCCATCCAACCATTTTAAACTTTATATTTTCCTCCCATCTAACCAAACTATTATAAAATTCATATCTATATTCACCTCCAATCAGAAACTTTTTAATCAGAATGTATAATAATCCAAATTGAAAATAACTACAGAGATGTGCCTGATTTAATGAATGACATTGTGACAGACTTAGAGCAAAAAGTCATTGTAATTTTTAGAATAAAATTATAATTTTTAGTCATCGATTTTTTGCATTAGCAGTTTACCTAAAATATTAATTGATTTTATGGTTACTTGCACCCGGAAGACCGGGCCTGGGTACATGTACTGCTCAAATGAAATGCTTTTCATTATTATTACACAGATGCATGCATACAATTTTAAAATATTACCTGGAATAACAAATTGCAAAGAGACATCACACAAATGTTGACACATCACTGATAATCTACATCTGTGGTCTGTTAAAATAGGGGAAACCATTCTATCTGCAACTTCTTTTTGAAAAGTTAATGTAAGTGGTGTTCGACCGTATTTCCAGACACCATTTTTTTCTGAGATAGCTTGCAACCATTTGATAATTAATGGTGTTGAAACATTAAATGGTAAATTACCAATGATGTGGATATTTGGTGGAGCTGCCTCCCATGGTTTTTTAAACTCATCAGGTATTAGTGGATCTAGATTAAAGTCCATAATATCCCCTTGTGATACTCTCATTTCTTTATCAGCAGCGTCAGCTAGTAACTGAAATAAATACAAATTATTTCGGTTTCAAAGACCCATATATTGTGTATCAAATAATTTGGATACAGAAAATTTTCCATTCAACTAAATTCTCTCCATGCAAAAAATAAAAATGGCCTTCAAAAATAAGATTTTCAGTAAAGCTGAGTACTTCAAAAATAAGATATATGTATTACTGAAATTTCAGTTAAGCTGAGTACTGAGTGGAAATTTGTGACCTGCTAGACTAAATGGAGTAATTACTTTTACATGTACTCTAGCCTACACAATCAAACTGTGCTTTCATTAAATGACTATTGAAAGTTTATGTTGGTTTCTACTAATTTCACACTGATTCATGGGCCTCTGGTTTAGACAATTAGTGAAACAGGCCCCCAAAATACAACCTGTGGTACCAGAAAGTAAACTATGTGATTGTTCAGTGTTCAGATATCAAATCAACTAATCTAGGATACTGTTTATCAATACCCTGACAAACATTGTACACATCTAAACAATAGAAATTAAAATTAATATGAAAACTCGCAGATTTCAATTTCATTTCATCCACGGGTGTCTACTATTTTTTACCTGTAACCCTGGTAGAAATCTTCTGTCTTTTTCAATAGCAACTAGACTGTGAATGTCTTTTTCCAGTATTGCACGAGTTATTCCCCCTGGTCCTGGACCCACTTCAATCACTAAATTGTCTTTTAATTTACCAGCCATTTTTACAAGTTTCCTATTCAAATTCATATCTAATAAAAAGTTTTGAGAAAGTTTTTTCTTTGCTTGTAGTCTGTATATTCTAATAATCTCACTGATTGTTGGCAGGGGAGGTAAACGTGTTATTCTTACACCAGCCATATTGTAAATCACGAGTCTGTGAAAAAAAATATATAAAGTTTATATTTGTTTAGAAAAGCATGACTTCGCCATTTGAATAGGAAATCACAATTCATTGCTGCTGGGAAGTCATCTCTTCTGCAAGAGAACATGGGTACTATTGAAACATCTTGAGTAGCATGATGTTATAAAAAGCAAATGGTGGTAGCGAATTATAAAAATTACCAGTATTTATGGTGTGATCATCTCTGAAGTGGAAGAGAGATACATGTATATATGGGGTTTAACATCCACTCAACACAAAATAGGTCATTTCAGGGCTAACATGTCGTACAATTGTATTTAAATAATTTGCTTGTGTGTCAGTCTTTAGCAGTGGGAGGAAATTGGAACCCAGAGAAATCCCATGAGAATAGGAAGGCGACCGTGCTCCTTGTCACATAGATGAGTGGAATTATGCAAGTTGACTCAATGACAGACCTTATGATCTAAAACACATGCATAAGATCATTCAACCACCCAACCCCACTTTAAAGTGAAAGAAATTCAGAAGTCATATGGTCGACTTATCCAGCCTTGTGGGTTTGCTCTGGGTACTCTGGTTTCCTCCCATTGCTAAAGACCACTACGTGCTAGCGAATTATTGAAATAAAATGTGACCATGTTAGTCTTGAAATGACCTAGTGGAGGTTAAACCACATTTCTCTCTCCCTCTCTCTTAATCCGTGGCTCCTGGCATTATTTGTCTAGTTAAATCCCATTTCATTTCATTTTATAATCTGTGGATTTAGTATATTTTTAGCTGCATGTTATCAGGATTAGTCTACGACTAGATCATTTATTCACTGAGATGTTTACATTCACTCGCACAATGTTTATGAAAATCAATGTGTTGTTGTAAGGGTTTAAGAATTGTTTATTGTTCAGTTCTGGTGTAAATGATCGACATGTTCAATTTATAAAAACATGAAAATGAAATGAGGTTTAACTTCCAACTTTTCTGCACCAACTGTTCTAATGAAGACGAGTATACGCCATAGTATTCTATGTGGGAAATTTGGCCCGACAGCTGTGTTGCGGGCTACTTTTATTTAGAATTCCAACTCTCATGGTTTCTTTTACGTGCATGCCAATCGGTACACCAGACCTTCACCTTGCTTTTAAACCGAGACCCCCCAGTTTATAAAGCAATGGCCCAGAGATTCAAATGTTGCAAAATTGCCAAGCGAATATTTACCTATGATCAATTTGGAAAGATCATTCTTTCATAGAAATAGTACAAATACAGTGAGACTGGAGTGCAGGGACTGAATGAAAGAACGATCGTTTGTTTAGATCAAACTGTGAAGTGAACTGAGGAGAGTCTCAAACTGGACGAGCTAGAGACAGGATAGAGATACATTCCGCAGACGTTTTCTTCATTTCTTCATTTGAGAATACTACAAAATGTGTACATTAATTATTATTAGAATAGAAGTTTTAGATTTCATGGGCGCTGCCATGTTGGTTGGTAAAAAATGTGGAATTACAATAATAATTTACGAAACGAAATTATAATCGCAGCCGGGCAACAAGTGAAGGTTATCCATTATTCTCGGAATTATGTGTAATTAAAATGTAGAATTACAGACATATTCTGATTTATTGCACTAATTGATAAGACTTGATTTTATTTTTATTTTTTTAATTAGTTTTTTTTAGTTAGAGTGGGGTGGGGCTAAAACTCTTTACAAAATACATTGCAGTTCATGTCATTTAAGGTACATGGTATTGGCATTGGTAATGTCAAGTGGCGATTAAAACGCCTATCCTGAAACATTTTCACAATGCGACAGTCAGAAGATATTTCTATATATCTTAACCCCGTTTACAGACCTCATAATAAATTTATCATAAATAATGAGAGAGAGAGAGAGAGAGAGAGAGAGAGAGAGGGGGGTAACGTTCAATCGACACAAACTAGGTCATTTCGGGACTAACACATAGTTCAGTTTTATTTCAATCATTCGCTTGCGTAGGGTGTATATAGTCTACAGATTAATAAAACATAGAAACTACAATAATAAGCTTAAACTTACTATGTTGACGATGATAATGTAAACCTTGAAATGGTTCGTTAATATGGTTTTGCTAGACTTGTTAATTCCTGAGTCTAAATTAAAGCCCCCCTGATAGATTTTCAAAATTTACGAACATATATTTTGCAACGAAAAAATTTAGCCGAAGGATTTAGTATAAATACAATTCAGTTTCTCCTAAGGCAGGGGTCAAAATGTAGCCTACACATTCACGGGTGTTTGTTTCCAGTGTTGAGATAGAGATATCAAAAAAGACGAGTAGGAGATTTTATTTATCACTCAATCCCTTCTTACATGCACAAATAGATAAATATAATTCTTTGCTGTAGATTTCACTTTTACTGAACATTACGGCGTAGTGATACATCATTTTTTGACAGCAATTCAACCATTGCAAAGTCCTTATATTGACCCAGTGTTTCCATCAAGGTCAATTGAATAACAATAGTTCATTTTTAATTTTAAAAAAGTACTTTTAATAAGAAATGAACTGTTCTTTGAAAATAAAAAAAAGTAGTTCCTTTTCAACTGACCAATCAAATTCATGTAAAGCGATATCTATATCGCAGTAGATTATGAAAATATATCACACAAGCGATATCTACTGTAGGATGTATTATTGGGTGATAAAAGTAAATATCTACTAGTTAAATTAATCATTGTAACTTCTAGGCTTCTTCGGATGGGGTTATAAGGGGGTTTTTTGTTTTTTTGGGGGTTTTTTTTTTGGGGGGGGGGGGTCGAATGGTTAGCACGTGCACTGTATCATAAGGTCTGTCATTGAGTCAACTGGCGTGGTTTCGATTCCCCGGTTGTACGTGACATAGGGTAGGGTCGTCTGTCCAACCTCGTGGGTTTTCTCCATAATCCAGAAAGTTACGGTCCAATACGCGCCAATATCGAAAGGAACCTAGACCTTTGGTATATATCAAAATTGGATGAAAATTCGAACCTCAAAACCGGGGCCTGTTTCCCGAAATTTTTACTAAGATAAAATCCAAATTTTAGTAATTTGAATGAATAATATTAGATTGATTTTAGTGCTTAGCCAATCAAAATTGAAGTATCTACTAAAATTTGGATTTTATCTTTAGTTAAGATTTCGAGAAACAGGGCCCTGGGTATTACATGGTTTTAAGGATAGCGGCCATTTTGTCGGGCAGTTTCGGTCCGATTTTTACGAAATTTGAACTCAGTCGTCATTATGGTGTTACGGTGATATATTTCAACGGTATTGACAATCAAATAAAAACTGTGAGGTCTAGAGGGCACCGCAAGCTAAAAATGTCGAGATATTTCGGTTATAAACATACATTGTCAGTTTCATTAAATCGTATAAAAATTGTGACCTCTAGAGTGTCCACAACATTGACATTATTATATATTTATTTGTCAAGTTAAGCATCGCAGGAAACCACCATCGACTTGCATGGTAAGATATTTAGAAAAGAAATAAAATCGTATAAAAATTGTGACCTCTAGAGTGTCCACAACATTGACATTATTATATATTTATTTGTCAAGTTAAGCATCGCAGGAAACCACCATCGACTGTGTTTGCATGGTAAGATATTTAGAAAAGAAATAAAATTTAACTTCATTGCTGAGTTATTTCATTAGCCAGAAAGCGTCTCTGACGATCTAGATCCCCAGGAGCTTCCGGGGCCAGGGGCGTGGTGACCCATGATTTTGCATGAGGAACAAAACTCAAAACCATGACGCAAAGTTCGTCATTACGTCCCTCTCACTTTGCCCCTATCCGGGGCCTAGACGGGCCTCGCATAAAGTCCTGGGAAGGTAGCCCCGCCCCCAAATCAAGAATTGCTTCCGTCGGTCCTGAGACTTACAGTTCAAGTTCGCTTTTGTGGGATTTTTATTTTAAGGAGCTACTCCCCTAACTCAGTATTTAATTTCCATAATATTTGGAATTCAATTTTGGTCCATTTCTATCAATACTGATATTGGTATCTTGCCGTGAAAATATGGCATCCTAATATCCAATATTTAAGACATAATAAACATTTTAAGATCAGTTTGAGGTATTTGAATGAAATTCAGTAGGCTATAGTAGAATGTTACAGATTTATTCAATTAAAATTCGGTTTTACAGAATTTATTGCATGTACTTATTTTGATATTGACAGAAATCTATTCGCATATTTCAGTCAAATTGATCCACCCTGAACCTGCCTGAACCGATTATTTAGCGATTGAATTTTGGTCCTAGTCTCGATCATCATTAATAAAGTCTGCACGATAAAAAAAAAAAGTCTCGATTATCCAGTTTTTGATTTCATCAGAAGCAGCAGACCGGGTTCTAATCCAGTACATATCGTAGGCTAGCGAGGCAATGGAGAGTTGATTATGGTCTGGATAAGTTAATTAATGTCTAATTAATAATTTAGATAACATTTCAGGCCTAAAGAAAGACCTGCAATATGTTTAACTATTTTTCAGATTGGTTTCACCCAGAACCTTGCTCGTAGCTAGCCTAACGTCTGCTTAAAATGATGGCGTATTAAATTGTCTTCTGTCAGCCTATAAGTACGAATATGTGTATTTCATAATTGGCAATAAGTTATTTATGCCGAATAAAATATCGTTTTACTTGTTGTCACCCATTTATTTGTGGCAAGTATATTTATCGTGTCAAGACATCACCATTATTTTAACGACCTAATTCTTACATTCAATAGCTACGAGCCCTGTGCACCTGCCACTTTTCAGAATACCAAACCACATCCATTTGGAAAGGGGTCGTTTGTGGAAAAACATTTACTTTACCTAATGTATTGTTGTTTTTGAGTGGGTTTCCTGTTTTTCGTCGATGACTAGCCTATAGTAGAAATTTGAGTGTACTTCTTTACGAACACAATATCCCCAAACCCACCCCACCCCGCCCAACACACACACACCCCACACCAATTATTGCATTCCAAGGCAAAGAAGCAAAGACGTCCGTAGTTATTTTTTATTATATAAATATCTTACTCGTGCCTCTAGTTTGTTATATAATGATCAAGGTTGTGATAAATGAATATTTTACGCGTAAACATTTTTGTTGTTTTTGTTTGTTAACAAATGACACCGATCTCACTGGAGGCGAAACGTGTTCATATGACGCGGATATTGGAGATCAAAGATTGTATATATACGTAAAAGATGTAAAGATATAGATATAATCACGTTTTATTGGATTATCTGTATTATAATATTACCAGCGGCTGCCAGGCAGGATACGCCCACATTTTGCAAGAGATGGATAGAGAACAAGCTAAAAACAAACGCGATATTTTGTGCAATCAGGGGCAATAATCCAGAAGAAAGTTATGGCCTGAAATGTGCAAATATCAAAAAGGACCGAGATCTTTAAGTTTCATCAAAATCGGATAAAAATTGTGACCTCTAGAGGGTCCACAACCTTCGAATTACACACTTCTACACAATTTGCGTACAAAGAGCGGCCTTTTTGTCGGGCAGTTTCATTTCGATTTTCCCGAAATTCAAATTCAACCTTCATTATGGTGGAATGGTGATGTATTTAAACGGTTTTTAAAATCGAAAAAAATTGTAACCTCTAGAGAATCCGCAAGCTAAAAATGCGATTTTTCGAACAATCAGGTTCCATAATCCAGGAATTTAAGTTCGGCCGCGATTATCAAAAGGAACCAAGATCTTAGTGTGTAACGGTGATATATTCACACGTTTTTTTTAAATCGCATAAAAATTGTGACCTCTACAGGGACCACAAGCTAAAAACGTGAATTTTTGTTAAACCAAGGGCCATAATTCAGGGAGTTACGATCCGATATGCGCGAATATCGAAAGGAACCAATATCTTTGGGTTATAAACTTGCATTTCAAGTTTCATCAAAATCGGATCAAAATTGTGGTCTCTGGAGGGTCCACAACTTTGATATATCAGATGTTTACACTATTTGCGTACGGGGGGCGGCCATTTTGTCCGGCAGTTTTGGTCCGATTTTTATGAAATTCATACTCATATTCGAACGGTTTTTTTTTTAAATCGGATAATAATTGTGACCTCTAGAGGGAACACAAGCTAAAAATGCGATTTGTCGTACAATCAGGGGCCATAATTCAGGAAGTTACGATTCGATATGTACGAAAATCGAAAGGAACCAAGATTTTTGGGTTATAAACCTGCATTTCAAGTGTCATCAAAATCAGATGAAAATTGTGACTTCTAGAGGGTCCACAACCCTGATACACAATATTTTGACACTTGCGAACGAGGGGCGGCCATTTTGTCCGTCAGTTTCGGTCCTATTTTTACTTTTACGAAATTCGAACAGTATAACGGTGATATATTCAAACGTTTTTTTTTAAAATTGGATAACAATTGTGACCTCTCTAGGGTCCACAAGCTAAAAACACGATTTTTCGTACAATATGGAGCCATAATTCAGGAAGTTATCGTCCAATATGCGAGAATATCAAAAGGAACCGAGATCTGTGGTTTACAAACATACATTCCAAGTTTAAACCAAATCGGATAAAAATTGTGACCTCTACACTGTTCACAAGCTAAAAACGTGGCCATAATCCATGAAGTTACAGTCCGATACATGCCAATATCGAAAGGAACCGAGATCTTAGGGTGATAAACCTATTTCAAGTATACGTCCACATGAAAATGTGGGCGTATAAAAATCTGTACATTGGGGAATCGAAACCACACTTCTTGACAGGCCTTATGATGTAACGTGCATACGTTAAACCACCCCAACCCCCATGAGTATAGCCTACCAAAGACATTAAAAGTACATTTAGGTTTTAACCTAAAGAATATTCCCAGCCAACGGCAAATCCTTATAGAATTTACAATGCCTTAAACCAAAGGGACGCTTGATTACATTTTAATACGTAAACAACAGTCTGGAGACACACCTTCAACATACAGGTATATATAAATCAGGTTATTGAAGGTAGTTATTTTAAAGTAACAGATCTACAAGATGAATATCTTTATCCTGGGTTTAATGTGTTTGTTGGTCGAAGTAGCGGCGGTAGCAAATGATGGCGATACAGTATCAGTTGGAAATCAAATAGAAGTTATTTCAGGTTAGTCGAATTCCTTGATTTAATTTAACGACATATTGATAAATTTCTAAAAATACTTTTATATTGATATAACACTATTCCCCTACCCGGGCTTAATTATTTCAGAAAATGTATATTCATAGTTACGCTGTTGATTTATTATGTGCGAAACACATATGGTCTTCGTAAGAGTTATTTATTTATTTTTGTGAATTTAATTCCGAATTTGCAGTCGAAAGTGTGCATGGAGCAAACATTCTACCAACGTAGATACTGTTGGCCCCCGTGGAACTATCAGGGCCGACGGAAGCAATTCTTGATTGGGGGGCTACCATCCTAGGACTTTAGGCGAGGGACCAGGGGCCGCCTAGGCAATAAAGTGAAATTTTATTTCTATTCTAAATCCCTTACCATACAAACGCAGTCGATGGTGGTGTCCTGCGATGCATAATAATACCAAGGTTGTGGACTCTAGTCTAGATGTCACAATTAATTTTTATACGATTTTAATGAAACTGACAATGTATGTATATAACCGAAAGATCTCGACATTTTTAGCTTGTGGTGCCCTCTAGACCTCACAGTTTTTTATTTGATTGTCAAAACCGTTGAAATATGTCACCGTTACACCATAATTACGACTGAGTTAAAATTTCGCGAACATCGGACCGAAACTAACCGACAAAATGGCCGCTATCGTTAAAACCTTGTAATATGCAGGCTGTGGACCATTTTCATCCAATTTTGATATATCCCAAAGGTCTGGGTTTCGAAATTCGCGCGTATTGGATCATAAATGTCTGGATTATGACTACTGATCGTACGGAATATCACGTTTTTAGCCTGTGAACCCTCTAGATGTCACCATTTTATTTTACCTTATTTTCAAAACCGTTCAAATATATCACCGTTACATCATAATTATAACAAATAATTTGACAAATAGAAATAATCTCAGATTGCCCATATCTCGGTTATTTCTTCGTCGGGTTTTCATTTTTAGATTCTTTGGACGAATCACATAGGGGCTTTGACTGACGGCTTTTCGAAATTCGTAAGTTCGTTCAATTAGTTTTAGCATCGAAGATTTGTGAAAGTTTCCTTCAGCATTTGTTCGACTTTCAAGATGGCGTATCTCCGTTAGTTTGAGGTATCAAATTGAAACCTGGTAGAAATAAGACATTGATGCCTTCAAAATGGCATATTAAAATGACAGATGATATCTTTCATTTTCAAAGACCTTGTTCCATAACATTTTCAACCGTTTCAAATCGATATTCAGCCGCCATTTGGATTCTGATTTTCGAAAACTTTTTTTTGTATTGAACTTACTCCAAAATGGCGACAATTCGTACGGAGCTGATATTTGAATTTTGATTATTTCCGGTTTCACTTTGACGTCTACTAACAATTAATATCGAAAATTCCTGCCTTGAAGTCTAACTCCCGGTTTTATTAAGAGTTCAAAATGACACGTTTTCCACTTAAATGGATATTAAGTGTTACTATACTCAATAGTTCATGGTGTAACTAATTGTTGACGTGACAAGGCGTGACCTGATGTACCGAAACACGTCAATACAGCTTTTACCCAGTTCTAGTTCTCCCTTTTTTATACATTGATATTGTTAAATTTATGTGTCGTTTAAATCAGTTTCATTACCATTCTGAATCCTGGGACCTAAATATACACTGTTTAATATTCTCTATCTCCAGGTATTGCAGACGGTGATCAAACTGTAATTCAACCCAAACCTAGCGCGGTAGAGAGGAAGATCCGCAGAACCGGAAGGAATATAAAGCGGGAACTTGCTAGGATGGCAAAGAGCCTTGCAAGAATATCGACAAGACTTGGGCGTAGAGCTGGACGGATGGCCGATGCAGAAAAAATAGCCAAAATACAAGAAAAGGAACAGGAATTCAGAGAAGCTAGCCAACATCTGTTTGAGCTAAGCACACAATTGATCACATTTTTCAATACAAATAATAATGGATTGGAAGAACTACTTAACATGATTCGTCCAGTAATCGAAATACCAAGCGAACCACTAATGGAAGAGGCAAAGAGAAACCTGAAAATGAACCATGACCCGCTTACAAAGTTAATCAATGAATTAAAACTGTATACATAATTTCAACTGTACGTTGTTTTATATTAAATCAAAGCATATTTCTTTTTATTTTTGCAACCGAACCTTTGATCCCCTTTGGACCGTCTTTCATGAAAACTTTCTGCACCTTAAGATAACTGCAGGAAATGGTATAATAATGGAAATGTGTTGGGAATCCAGCAATATCTGAGTGGGGCGCTGGCTCGCTACGCTGAAGGTCACCGGGTTTGATCACGATGTTGGTCGAGAAAGTTACTTGGAATTCTCCGGCATGGTTTCTCCTTGACAATGAATTATGGTACAGGAAGGAAGGAAGGCCTGGCAAGGCTAACCAGACAAATTTCCCTGATAACACACCGCGTATGTCAGTCTCCCTACCCCTGGAATTCATTTCTAGCAAAAATCTATGTTACATTGCTTTGCCACTTCATATTTAGGGTTGATGATACTAGTATAAATGAATTGAAATGGCAGTTAACGTCCTACTTTTCTGCAACAATATAGCAAAATTTATGTAGCACTGCTTTATCACTATCACTAATTGAATTCAAATGAGGTTTTACATTCTACTTTGCTGCAACAACCGCACTAATGAAGATGGGTTTACGCCATGTAGTATGGTTAAGTGGGAATTGTGCCTGGACAGCAGCGTTCCCGCCTACTCTTCATCTTACCCCAACTATCGTATCAATGAGTACAGTGGTGGAATTCGGTTTTACGTTGGATCCTATGGTGGCCAGAAACATTTTTGTGTGTAACTAATTCCGATTAATTGATATTTACATTGAGAAATAAAAAACAGTTACAATTTTTAGATATAGATAATTGTAAATCACGTTTGTGAGATATACTTGAATACTGAGATAGTGGACAGAAAAACAAAAAATGATTTCAGGATCGCTGTAAACGCACCACTGGTCAATTCTCCCAAACGCGAAAAATTAAATTCCACAGAATGGGAATATTTAAAATCTTGCTGAATGAGTACAACGCATACAGTTCAGTGGAAGAAGCAACAATATGTCAAGCTTGTTGACACCTGAACACTGGGAACCACCAGTGCGTTATTGAGTGAGAAGGATAAACAGAGCCATTGCCAGTATTGCAATGAATGGTGAAAGATCCCACAAGGACCCATTCAGAATGATTAAAGATACATTATGATGGGAGATTCGATAACGTGTTGGCAGTTCTCACTATAATAGTTAAAAACTAGATAATGTAAAAGCAATTTGCTGAAAATTTCATTCAAATTGATCCACTAACTAAGGGATTGAAATTTCCGCCTAGCCTCGATCATCATTACTAAAGTCAGTACGATAAACAGCATATTCTCGATTATCCATTTAATCGTTAAATGGTGAAGGAAAGTTATGCAGTAAATCGGCTCATAATCCACTAAAGATCGCAGGCTAGCAATGCCATCTAGAGTTGATTATGGTCTGCATAAGTTAAATAATGTTTAATTAATAATTTAGATAACATTACAGGCCTAAAGAAAGACCTGCAATAGACATATTTAGCTCTTGCATAATGTATTTTTAATATTCGATCATAAATCGTGGAATTATACTTGATTGAAACAAGCCAGCTATTCTTTTTAAACAGTTTAATCACAATAAATTTCAATAATGGTTTTTGAACCGAAAATAATAGTTCATAGATTACAGTTTCATCAATCCCACTGCCCGGAAGCATATATTTTATTCATTTTGATTGCTGTCATGAACTGATATCAACATCTTGTTGAACTGTGAAATATTGCTGAGGTAGCAAAATTTCATTCTAAGTCCCTTTGTGAAAACAAAAACTCATATTATTGCTAATTAATATGACTACAATTCTAGGTAGGTTCTCAATTAGAATTCAATTTATGCAAATATCACCAATCACCATCTATGTTGTGGGTTAACCACATTATTACTTTTTACACATACAAGTCACATAGTGGTTAAAGAAAACATTTTGATTTATTTGAAGCTGTTCATATTATTGTAGCACTAAACAATTATTAGAGTTATCCGTTGAACTAATTGTTGCTATTGCCAACATATCTTTGCCTTCTTCTAACTTTGGCATAGTTGCAACATTTGAACAACGAAGGTTCAATGCAGTTACTTTTATTTTCCAGTTATTTTCAAACCTTGGATCACGTATTAGTCCAAAGTCTTGCTCAAATATTCCTAAACAGTCATTTCCTCGATGAATCGTTCCACAAACAGAAATAGCTAACAGACCGTGTGGATCTTTCTTTGATCTAACCCCTTCAGCACTTAAATTTGGATTAAATAATAATAACTCATCTTTTGTAATGGCTAAAAGTCTACAAGAAACCATTTCACATCCTTCAAATTGTTCAGTAGAGTTCTCAGAATCACTGGCTACCGTTAACAGTCGTAACCTTACATCATTCCAAAAGTGATGTGGTCCAAAATTCTCAGGAGTTTCATTCAAGGACGGATTTTGCGAATTCATCATTTTGTAAAACCATTTGACAAATGTTTCTGCTAGTAGCTGATCAGTAGCAGATGAACTATTGGTCATAAATTTATCACTGGTTGGTTGGTTTATTTGATAACCACTTTGATTATTTTGATATACCGGTACTGGATCTGGCAAAGTTAAAAGCGAACCATCTGTTATATTTTGATCACCTTGTACTATATGTACGTTTATGTGTGTATTTTGTATAAGAGTTACTGGTTGTAATGGAGTGGTGGTGGTATGTCTCTGTGAGTTATCTCCTCCTCCTGAATTAGAATCATCATCCTGCTGAAATTAACAATTATAATGTGTGATATCAAATAATAACAAGATTACTAGTCATCAACATCCCACCCCCTTGCACCTCACCTGTTTAGAAGGCATAAGGAAACAATTTCTTTATGTTGGCAATCAATATAAAAATATATCAGATTTCACAAACAGTGTCACTAGTCCTCATATTGTGGCCCTGTTTAATAGATATTGCTCTCTATATATCTGTGAACCAAGCAAGGTCAATTACCTTTGGTTGATTGCCACTTATTTGTCAAATCTAAGATTTGTAAGTATGTGAACATTGTCATAAATTCACATTTCAACACATGGAATAACCATGGAACTAGCCAGAAGATATATATTCTGAGCACAGTAGCTGAGCAAGTCAGGGTCGCATAGGTATTATGGTGAAAATATATCAAGTAAAATAAAATATGTTTTGATTTGATATGTTTTCACCAATGTTTTCACCATAATATAAAGTAAAATAAAGGGAGGGTAGGAAGGCCTAGTGGTCTAGAGTGCCGCGCTTCGACCTCTAGCTGGCCAGTCACCTCTGGCTTGCGGCTGTGGTATCGATCCCTGGTGTGAGTGTAGGGACGCCTTCTCAGCCTTGTGGGTTTACTCTGGGTAAAATAAAATAATAAGTTGATGAATGTAAAAGTTCTAGAATAATAAAATTACATATTAAAAAATAATTCAAAATAAAATAAGTTAACAATGGTCAGCTATGACAGAGATTATAGACAACAGTAGTAAAGAGATAATCCGTCTATAAACACTACATAATCAAGGCCAAATTAGTCACCTCAGTAAATGAATGAATGGATGTCAATTAAATACTACCTCTTATCAACTATAAAATATCATTAAGTTTAAATATATATCATCATTATTTATTGTTAGCAAGTAACCTCTAGTATATTAGAGGAAAGATTGTAGGCAGTTGACCACAGGCAGACAGCAGGACATACTGAAGGTCAGGTCTCTGATAAGTTATTTCTGATAAGTTAGACACTGTTCCTTATTAAGTTACCTAGCCTGTAGGTCATTTATGTATATATTATTATTAAAGGGACTATCCCTTATTTGAACATTCTCAAAAATAAAAGTCTGAATATGTATGAAATTTAAACGCAAAAATATAGAGGAATGGTGTATTGACTGCATCTCAAAATTTCAGCTCAAAATATTGAGTCGTTTGGACGTGACCGTCAAAACTGCTTATCCGGACACGTAACCCTTTTAAGATTTTGGGTCATTTTTTTCGTTGGGAGACCAGATAATCGATTCCCGTTCATTGAGAGGTCTATACAATGAATGGCCCAAATGCTGTACTTGATAATGAAAGGTAAATTTCACCTACACATTATTTTTATACAAAAAATGCCTGGTTTTATCTAGACACCGCATAATACAGCTTGGGACACCGGTCTCCATTTCCAGATGAAGACTGACGGGTTTCAGTTATTTGAAAACTTATCACAAATATTGAGTTAATTGCTCGGCCCTTAGGTAGAGGATTTAAAGGATTTTTAAACAAAATTAAACAGTTTTATTCTCCATGTATTATCGGGATTATCCCTTTAAGTATTGTTACAAGATTAGAGAACTATACCAATTATTGTATGTTCAATCTTACACCCCCAACTAGATTGAACATACACCACAATGTCCGAAGGTTGGACTTATAGGTACATGTAGGTCCATAAACCCCGGATGATAATACTGTGAGGTTCAAACGTTTTAATCTAATAATCCACACAGAAGGATAACAATTGTCAAGTTTTCATAACAGATTACAATCCCACTTTGGTCCACAACTGCAAGATCATTAAAGATAATTGGCATATCCTCCACAGCTCCAACGACTGCCTTATTGCTTTCCCCAAACCCTGTCTTACAGCTTACGAAGTCCATCAAGAACCCCACACTGAAACCTGAAGTTAGTGGGAAAAGTTACTATTATTTAAACAACCTGAAATGCCCCTAATTCAGTGCCAATATTGCAATACGCTAAAACTCAAGAACACATTCTGTTCTAGTAAAACTGGCAAATCTTATAAATGTTCTACCAACTGAACCTGCCATAGTAACCAGCGGCTACCAGGCAGGATCCGCCCACATTTTGCAAGAGATGGATAGAGAACAAGCTAAACAAAAAGCGATTTTTCGTACAATCAAGGGCCATAATTCAAGAAGTTACGATCCGATATGCAAGAATATCGACAGGAACCAAGATCTTTGGGTTATAAAGATATATTTCGAGTTTCATCAAAATCAGATCAACATTGTGACTTCTAGAGGGTCCACAACCTTGATATACAGTATATTTACACTATTTGAGCACGAGAGGCAGCCATTTATAACGGCAATTTTGGTCTGATTTTTTGCGAAATTCTCACTCAGCAGTCATTAGGGTGTAACAGTGTTTTTTTAAATCAGATAATAATTGTGACCTCTAGAGGGACCACAAGCTAAAAACGCGATGTTTCGTACAATCAAGGGCCATAATTCACGAAGTTACGATTCGATATGCACAAATATCGAAAGTAACCAAGATCTTTTGGGTTATAAACATGTATTTCAAGGTTCATCAAAATCAGATGAAAATTGTGACCTCTAGAGTGTCCACAAGGTAAAAACGTGATTTTTTGTACAATCAGGGCTGGGCCATAATCCATGAAGTTATCGTCAGATACATCACATGCCAATATCTAAATATCTTTGGGAGATAGATCTATATTTCAAGTTTTGTCAAAATCGGATAAAAATTGTGACCTATAGAGTGTCCACAAACAAATTGTGGACGGACAGGGGCGACGACAATATACGTCCACATGAAAATGTGGGGGTATAAAAATGCAATCTACCTACTTACTTGCAAAAGATTATTTCACAATAAGCTGAAGGAACATTATGTTTATATTACCCATAAGAGAGACAATCAGGTCGCTTCTCACTTCCGCCTACGAGTCGCTCTAGACAAAATCTCAACTATCAAATTATTAAACAACTCGGTACTAACCCTGACCTTTCTAAATCTACTACCATGTAGTATCAATAGATGCACCATTGAACTTCATTGGAATTAAAAACCTTGCAACCGTGCGGATCAATGACAAAATCCCCCATTTATTTTCTTTAATTAATGTTAATTACCATTAAACAATCTTGACTGTTTGTTAAATCTGATTTCCATAATTCCAGTATTTTATTCACCAAATGTTGTTTATCAGACTGAACAGATACCACAATTCCATTCTCATGTAGGTATTGAAACAAGTAGTCTCGTACTATTTTCTTTCTCTTAAATAAACTGTTAGGTGTAGTGCTGTAACTTATGATAACTTTGATGGCTTCTGAAAGAAACATTCAAAACATAAGCTTACGAAAGATTAGGCCTATAGTATTAGGTTATTGGCTAGAATTAGCCTACATTCAGTTCCAATCTGATTAAAACACAGCTCCTATTTCCTTTCGTTTTTATAGTTCAAAATTTCATTTTACTTGTCTTTACTACACTTGGATCTGGAAGAGTTGTTATTTAACTCGTGTTCTGAATGGTGTCAGGGATAAGCCAATGAAATGGTCTGTTACGGCGAGCTTTAGGTGTGTTTTTCACGGAACTGTGGGTAATCCACTAGTAACATCAATGCTGATTGGTTAATCAAATGTCTGACGTCATAGGGTCATAAGTCGGTCTTTTGACCCCTGACGTGACCTACGGCTATAAATTGTCAGATCTTCATGTAGTGTAGGCCATCGAAAGTATAAAAAAACGAAACGAAATATAGATCTGTATTTTAATCAGATTGATTCAGTTCAGCACAGTTGGCAAAACTTATATATTTAGACTCTATGATGACAACCAAAAAAAAGCAATTGTCCAATATGGACGCCTCAATATTCTACTTTAAGTGCTCCTCCAGCCATTAATTAAACATACATTATGTAAGAACTATATCTGTCTATTGCAGGTCTTTCTTTAGGCCTGAAATGTTATCTAAATTATTAATTAGACATTAATTAACTTATCCAGACCATAATCAACTCTCAATGTCATCGCTAGCCTGTGATGTTTATTGGATTAGGTTTCGATTTGCTGTTTGACTTCCATTCATGATTTAATCATGAAATGGATAATGGAGACTATGTTTTTTATCGTACCGACTTTAGTAATGATGATTGAGGCTAGGCCGAAAATTCAATAGCTAAAATCTTGGTTCAGAGTGGACCAATATGACTGAAATTTTCAGCAAATTCGTTTTACATTATCTTGTTTTTAACTATTAATCTATTATAGTGAGAGCTGCCAGCTCTTTATCTAATCTCCCATAATGTATCTTTAAATAAGGTGCTTACGCAGGTTGGTGAAACTCTAGCTAGGAGAACATAGCTTAATTCGTTGATATATACTGATGTGCTTGTTTTTAGCTACGATTGGGTTCCTTTATTTTCACCTGGCAAACTTAATTTCTTTATTAATGCATGTACCCGGTAACATCTTAAAAATAAGTTAATTTTATACTACGGTATTTGAACTTATTAAGACATACACAGCCCAATCTACTGAAACAATTTTCATTTATCAACTAATATTGACAATAAAGTAAATCAAGCGTTGTTTTGATCAAAATTGATACAGACATTCATAATTACGGTGTATTACTCCTGCGCAACTCGGATCAGGTTAGTACTTTGATTTGGTTATTGTACACGGGGCCCCGCCTTTATGTCTTAAAGCCGTAAATGTAATATGTCGGAGAAAGCAATCTATTATCGCTTCGATTTAAAAAGTGGGGATTTGTACCCGGGTCAGGTAGGATTTTCGGTACTATTGAAGCAGAAATGTTATAAATAACAATAATCAATCGTTGTTTTGAAGAAAAACGTGTCAATTTTGCTTATTTGAATCCCGAAACACGGATGTTGAGAGATGAGGTTTCTTATCTACTTGATTATCTACTTAGTGAAACTCAAACTGAAGTTGAAAATGTCCTAACCGTTAGAATCCTCTACCGTTATTTGTCCTTTAGTTACCGTGTCCTTCAAAGAAATCAGGTCACCTTTCGGTAATTTTTTCAAAATTGACACAAATCCTTGTTTTTCAATTTCTGTCAACATTTTAATTGACATAAATCAAGATATTGTGGAGCCAAAGCATTCATGGACATTTAGTTTTGTGTTTTGTTTCCGGTTTGTCGTCTCAAAACTTTGGACTTGGATTCGAATCATGACGAATAATTCAAAATATGGACGTGCGTCAGCATTTGAAACACGTTTATTTGAAACACGCTTATAATCTGGAGGCTCAGTGCGTGGGTCAGGCCCGTAGACAGAGGGGGGCAAGTGGGGAGGGGATAGGCCACCCTCCACGCGGAAAAATGTTCCCCCCCCCCCCGAAATTTTTTTTGCAGACCATTGTTCTAAAATAAGTACTGTAGACTGTGCCGGGTGTGCCCCAACCTAATAATTCACTGCCCCTCCGAAGTTAGCAAGCACAACAGTACCAAAACAGTCGAAACCCGTTTCGTAAAAACCGTGAAATCGAAATCTCAACGATTTAGTTTGTACGACAATTGCTATACATAATTAAACTAGTTGTCCGAAAAACAGTTGAAGTTTAATGGTTTGACCCCAGCCTGCAGACCGCGTCACGAAGCCTGCCAAAATTTTCCCCGGTAACATTTGGCAATACGGCTTTTATATTCCGTGATATAATGTACAATGCATCCGCTAGTTTTATCTGTGTCCATGTTCTGATGAAATCCATGAAAACTCATAGAACATTTGTAAACCTTTAATTACGTCGTCAGATACGTGTTTCCCTGTCACAGATTAACGTCGGTTTTCCCAGGTTGGGATTCTCGGAAATTCACATTGCCTGCAGGCTGGAGTCCAACCATGAACTATTTTGCTGACAACTTCTTTCATTATATACTTTTCAAAAAAAGTAGGGGATATTCAGAAACAATACAAAACTGCGGAAATGCACTGCTGTTTTTGTTAGAGGTACAGACCAATTGCCTACACATGAACATAAACAGTTCATAGGGGCGGCTTATCTGACGGCCCCATTTCACTCGCAAAAAGATACACTGTCAAAAGTGAAAATGGACGTTTTGATTTATGTCTTAATAATGAGTAATTGCTCCACCAATCCTCAGACATTCAGCAATTCGTCGTGGCATGCTCCTAATCAACCGTCCAATCACGATTTGGGGCAATCTGACCCATTCTTCTTGCAGTGCCGCGGCCAATTCTTGCAGTGTTATCGGTTGACGTTGATGTCGAACACGTCTCCCGATCAAATTAAACGTAACAGCAAAGATACGCTAAACAGTAAATCTTAGGCAAGAACCGATAGGAAAGCAAACATTGATAGGATAAACCAACAAGTGACAGTTTTCATCAACCCTTCCTTGAAGTATCAAATTTGACAATGAACCCCTCCCACGTGTATGGCGCTATTGCGTGTCGCATGTGCGCAGCTCAGTGGTTCTGTTGGGGCGATAATTTCTTCATCTGTGAACATACTCTCAAAGCATGTCAAGTGTCCATGACTATGTATCATATCACGGCCTACATAGATATTTGCATTTCAATATCCCCTACATTTTTGAAGAGTATATATCACAATCATTGTGAAACTAAATCGGGGATATTTCCATTTGACTGTTTTTTAAACAGGTTTCGAAGTGTTTTGGCCCTGTTATTCAAGACCGTTTTCGACATTCCAAAGTAAACGTACGGTGCTAAGACCTAAACATAAATTTTAAACGTTCCTATTATTAATTAGAACAGTTTTCTCTTTGGTTTTTATATTTTACGCTGCCGTGTATTGCTTTAAATCTTCCTAGTGCAAAAACAGTTAATTTGACCTTTTGACCCCCGGGGTCTCAAAGAGGAAAGGTGAAGTTAGCCATTTTACATTTTTATTGAGAGTGATTACTTTCGATCATTTTCAGCATGTTTTCATGATACAAGAATGACTGCGCATTCACTTACAGTGTAAATGACCTCATTTGGCCTTTGACTCGGCAACGTATTCTACGCAAAATTTTACTATAGAAACGTTGGGTCTGGTTTTATGCCCCTTTAATGGACCCCCACCCCCCGCACTAAGGGTTCGGTCTATTATTGCGACTCTGTGTTCTGTACTCCAGATGGACGAGATTGCAGTACCGGTATATCTCTTTGTCATCCATAGAAATAAATTATTGTATTTGATTTTTTTTGTAAACAGTTTCTAGGCTAATTATCGTAACGCGAGCTCCTGGTACAGCACAGGGATGGTCAGGGATGGGGCGGTGGTTAGCAAAAATGAGAAAATACAGTGTTAATTTTAGTGTTTTTTTATTATTTTTTTTATTATTTTTTTTATTTTGGAGGGGGTGGGGGTATCCGACATATGGTGGCCCCGCAAATCTTTACTTTGACCCCAAGGACACCAGAGTTCAGGGTTTTGCACAAAACTAAAGATAAAAGCCATGGCCAATGATATGACTAGCATTCCAATACAAAGTACAAAGGGAATCCACACTTCCCATAGTAAACAAAGAGACAAATAGGGTTTAATACCCACTCGGTCGTTTCAGAACTAAATAATTTCATTAAATCGCTTGTGCGTAGGGGTCTTTTAGCAGTGGGAGGAAAAGGGGATCTTATAAAACCCCAAGGTTTGAAAGGCAACCCTGCTCCTTGTAACCTGCAAGCTTGGAATCAAAACCATGCTACCTCGTGACTCAATTACAGACCCTATGATCTAAAGTACACGCCTTAAGGCCTAGATCACCCTTAAGGAAGCCGATCCGATGGCTTAGAACCAGATCTAGGCTATAAGATCTTAATCACTTTTTTAGGACATATAATTTCAATAATTCACTTGTGCGTAGGGATCTTCTAGCATTGGGAAGAAACCGGGGGACCATATAAAATCCACGACAGGCAATCCTACTCCTTGTCATGTGCAGTCTTGACTCAATTACAGACCTTATCATCAAAAGCACACACCTTAAAGAAGCTAAATCGCCAATATTTTGGACCTAGAAATTGACTCAAATGGGTCGCAACGCATCTAATAATGTAATATGAATATGTATAAAATGATTTACATTCAATCGTTTCAGTTTTTACTCTAATTTTAAATCAGTTATGCTCGGCGAGATACGCCAGAAGTCTCAATCGAATGGCAATCTCTAGCGTCTGGTACCGGTTATTCCAGTCTACACAGATAGTATTTATTGCGCATGCTCTCCAGATAAGAATATGTCATCACCGTCTGACATGACTTGTGGAATATGTCTAGCCTCGTTCTTCGAGTCCCTTGTTAGTAATGGCACTGAAACGCATTATGATACACGATTCGTGTACCAATGGTAAATGTTTATTTTGGATATGGGTAATTTTGGATATCAGAAGCCCATCTCTTCCCTGTAGAAGATCACAACATCAATGTTGATTTAAATTGACAAATAATTTGTGTTTTCAATGTTGAAGACTTTGGATGATATTGAGTTACAGACTTAGCTACTTTGAATTTGCGTATATAATCTGCATACATATCTGGCCTTGTACGAAAATATCGCGGGGAGTAAGTCTTCTTATTAGAGTGTTTTTTTTAAGCTATAGACATGCACTAAATGGCTAGTGTAGTTTTGTTATCGGTTAGTTTTACTCCCCCGGAATTACTTAGTAACACTAAAATTACCAAAAATTAATTATTGAAAACCAAGTGTAACAAATGGGTGTATTAAAGGGACTCTCCCGATTTCAAGAGAGTCTCTAAAATAAAAGTCGGAGTACGTATGAAATTTAAGCGCCAAAATATAGGGGAATGGTGTATTTACCTTCTCTCAAAATTCCGGCTCAAAATATTTAACTGTTTGGACGTGAACGTCAAAACTGCTTATCCGGACACGTAACCCTTTTAAGATTTCGGGGCAGTTTTTTCGTTGGGTGACCTGATAATCGATTCCCGTTCTTTGAGAGATATATAGTGAATGACCCATCTGCTCTACTTGATAACGAAAGGTAAATTTCACCTACACATTATTTTTATAAATAAAAGTCTGGTTTTATCCAGACACCGCATAATACAGCTTGGGACACCGGTCTCCATTTCCATATGAAGACTGACGGGTTTAAGTTGTTTGAAAACTTATCACAAATATTGAGTTAGTTGCTCGGCCCTTAGCTAGAGGATTTTAAGGGATTTTAACACAAAATTAAGTAATTTTATTCTCCGATAAATATCGGGATTAGCCCTTTAAAGTGAAAGTTTCTTAAGCTTATGTTTAAATGTTTAATTTTCTTTTTTTTTTTTTTTTTTTTTTTACAGATTCCCACTTGAAAATCCTGAACTTGTTAAAAAATGGTTAATTAGAATAAGTCGGAAATACTTCAGTCCAAGTCAAACTCACGTTGTGTGTAGTGGTCATTTTGTTAGGGACGATTATATTAGAGGTAAGGTGTTGGTAAATTAGTTATTGTTTTTAGAAATATACTAAACTCCTGTTTTGTGGGAATGAATGAATGAAATGTGGTTTTATGGCACGTCAGCTCCAACCGGGCTAGATTGCGCCAAACATATGGTGAAAAATTCAAGACAAAATAAAAGAAATCACAGAAATATATTTATATCCATAAATAAAAACAAATATCACAGATAATATATAAAATTAAAAATAAATATCAAATACTTTATGAATATAAACAATTAAAAAGAAAGAAGATAGGATACATATATATATATATATATATATATATATATATATACAGTTAAAACTTATAATAAAATTTTGTCTCTTTTAAAAAGTTTAGTATCTCACAATATAGCTCCGGTTGAGCAAATAAATTATGTAATGTCTGGTAACGGTAATATTTAAATCTAATATTTCCAAGATACTTGCACTCGATCAAAATGTGCTTCACCGTCAAAGGAACATGACAGTGTTCACATTCTGGTTGAGGCTCTCGTTTCAAGATGAAAAAGTGAGTTAAAAAAGTATGACCAATGCGAGAGCGACACAAAACAACTTCATCCCTCCTGTTGGTTCTATAGGAGCTTGGCCAATCTCCTAAGAGAGGCTTGATATGATGAAGTTTATTTGTGCCTGCAAGATCCCAAGACCGTTGCCAGCGGTCATAAATAAAATGATTTATACATGATTTAAAATCTTTATATGGTATTAAAAAGGGTGATTGGGGAAGATCTAAAGCAGCTTTGGCAGCAAAATCTGCTTGATCATCCCCCCTTATATCAACGTGACTGGGGAGCCAGCAAAAGACAATGCCCTTGCTGCTCAACTCGTAAGATAGTAGCAGACGATAAACATCTGCTACCAGTGGGTGTTCAAGCTGTTTATTGTTAATTGCTTGAAGCGAGGACAGAGAATCAGTAAAGATGATGTGCTGTAGTAAATGTGATGATTGAATGAACTCCAAAGCAAAGCCTGAAGAATGGCCTGGAGCTCAGCTGTAAATATTGAAGCAGCAGGTGGAAGACACACAGAAATGGTCTCAGTTGGCGTCACTGTAGCCGAAGCCACCCGATCACCATCTTTAGAACCATCTGTGTAAATAGGAGCATAATCACCATATTTAGACCTTAGCTCTCTAAAAAGAAATTGGAACACCGTCGAGCTAGTATCTCTCTTCTTATGTTGAGTCAGATCGAAATCGATCTTTGGGAGAGATATAGCCCACGGCAGAGACCTAAAGAAAGGGGTATTCGCAATACTGTCAAGGCTGATACCAGCCTCCGACATGAGGCTGTTTTGTGGGTGGGTGTTTTAGGGGGGTATTATGCATTGCTCTAGATATTTTTGAAAAATGATCCATTAAACGTAAGTACAGAAAGATCTGTAGATTAAATAACATGATCTGCTCTACGCTTATTGTTGTCCACAATTTATCAATTTTACTTTTTTTTATATTTTAAGGGATTCACCCATCAGAAGGCCCGACATCTTTATGCTCGTTGGTTTAACTGGTAATTGGAAGTTTCCCGTACATATTTTCTTTGTGGCCATTTGTCAGGGCAAGCTCAACATGAAATACTGAAAATGCTGATTACTACATTGACAGAAGCTGGATTACATATTTACATATTCATGTGTAGTGTGTGATGGGTCGTATGCTTACCAAGCCACTGCTAGTAAATTAGGATGCTCAACTGATCCTGCAAATCCATGCAGAGCACACCATTTCATTTATTTTTTATGCGTGCCACGTTATAAGGTTGGTGAGGAACTGTTTTGCTACCCTTCGAACATTGTATGATGAAGGTCACCAAATATCCTGGAAATTTATTGAAAAACTAAATGAAATTCAACAAAACGACAACTCAAACCTTGTAAATAAATTGAAAGCTAAGCACATTCAGTGGAAACAGCATTTAAAATAAATGTTAATTTAGCTGTCCAGGTTATGGGTTCTTCGGTTGCCGATGCTATCGACTTTTTACGGGAAGATCTTGGAATACCAGATTTTGCTGGGAGTAAAAAGACCACAGAATTTATCAGGAAAATGGACAAGTTGTTGGATTTCGTGAATTCGAAAATTCCATATGGCAAAGGTTATAAAAAAACCAATGAATTTATTCAATGTTGATGTTCGTAGAGAGCAGAACCACGGGAAACCGTTTTTCAAGACGCAACACCAGCAGCTGTACACCGTACAAACAAGAACATGACCAAATTTGCCAAGTTACTTTCTGAGCCTAGTGAATATCCTGACTATGTTTTACATTATATGGCCGGTTATGTAACCCGGCATATTTTGAGAGACTGTACCTGTGTCCATTGCAGAAATGCCTTACAGGATAATTCCAGCACCACGTCTTCAGTTGATTTCTTGTTAGATGAAGTATTTTCCCTAACCATGTAGTGATGTTTTTAAAGTCATCAAAACAACTGACATAGTTTTTACGTAAGCTTAAGCCAAGCATGCAGTAAAAATTTGTAAGGTCTACATAGAAATCTACCATCCCCATATTATTTAATAAGCCTACATTCTTTAATAATTAATGATGATTTTTCAAAAGATTTTTATTGTTATTATTGTTTTAAGAAATGACGAGAATTTCCAAATGACTCATAATTAATTCAACCATCTCAAACTTTCACAGATTGAACTTTTGGAAAGGTTAGGAATTAACTGAATAAAACAGGTTGTAGCCAAATAAAATTGACCCGCCTACTATCGCCTGATCTTTATTTCAATCTGCATGTTGTATAAATTTCAGAATCTTATTGTATATTATTTAAATTAATGTAATTTTAGGCACTTTTGTTTTTAAAGAAATACATGTAGTGAAAAAGAGGCATGATATATTTTTTTAATCGATGCCTTTTTGGCTATTGCACAAATGTTATTACGATCATTTAATTTTTTGTAAAATTTACTATACTGCCGTATTTTTAAATCCGAGTACAATATAAATTTAGACGCCATAATTAATATATCATGGAAATTGAAAACCATATTGGGTAGGCCTGTTTATATTTTTCTTTAATTTTTTAAATCTTTCCAATAAAATTATATATTCTCCTGGTCGATGGTAGAAGCAGATTTTGTCTCTTTTTTAAATATATTTTATTTCTTTATTTTTATCATCAGGATGACTTATCCAGCAGACCTTTTAATTCGTCCAACAAATTAATCATACACATCCAAAATGGTTTTTTTATGTGAACTACGAGGAGCCGTGTTTCAAAATTTAGCCGAACACTTTATGGATCTAGTCCTTTTCGAGGACGATCACTTTGCCACTCTACACCTGCACTCTTATAATTAATATCGTCAGTGAAAATAATTGTTGATACATGCATAAAGAATTAACATAATTTCACTTAAATACAAACACCATTAGAACAAAGACTTTACCAACCATTAATGGTCCCCTAGAGGCCGGGTAATTAAATCAGTGAGTAGTATTTACTCCGGATGCTATAGTGATTCCTTCAGATTGAAATCACATCATTCGGTGTGTTCCCACTTAGCCGGCAGACTGTTAATCCTTTGATTGATCTTAAAACTATAGTCTGTTTAAAAGTAGTCACTCAAGAACTGTTCACTAGTGTTCAGCGTTAATGAGCTCTTAATCCCTCTTAATAAAATTTATTAACCAACTAATTAATGACATTTTGAACACAGTTCATGCCGGCGTTATGATTTCAAACATGAATTCAATTCACTTTATTAATATAAATAGATGGTCGATCTGTGTCGAAATTATATTTATTTTTAAATGGCAAACGTTCAGGTTAATATTCGCTTTATCTCCAATAATCGAGGTGGCCGATATTTAATACACAATGGTTACAAGTTCAGTATAAAGTCAAGCAGACCAAATGCCGTCCATTGGAAATGTTCAACAAAAACTTGTCCAGCTACTGTAAACACCAAGAATGATGTTCTTACCACTGTTGGATTCCAACACAATCATCAACCAGATAATGTAAAGATTAAAGTTGATACGTTTTTGTCATCCATGATGGATTTGGTAAAAACTGACCACAGACCAATGCCAAGTATTTATCAAGAACAAATAACTAGAAAGTAAATTGTGCCATTTAATCTTGAACCTTATTTCCAAACTGAAAATAAAATGTTTTGATATTATTTCTATTGAGTAAGTTCTATATGTCTATTTGTTTATATTGTTTCAGGTCTACGAACTGAGGAAGTTACTTAAGTTATACAGTCTGTCCATCCATTCCGCCTTATACCGCTCACGATCAAAAATTTTACCAACATTACCTAAAGAACGTCAGGACATAGAACTTACAGAATCATACCAAACTACAGCTAATGGTGACCGGTTCCTGCTTTTTTCAGACAGAAATATGTGCATATTTGCAACAGATGAAAATCTACAATTTCTCGCTGGCAGTGATTCGTATTTTTGTGACGGAACATTTAGTATGTGCCCACAGCTTTATTACCAGATATATACAATTCATTCAATGATAGATGGAAAAATGTATCCATTCGTGTATGCTTTGCTAGCAAATAAGCGACAGGATACCTACGAACAAATGTTTCAGATAATATTAGATAGAACCCGTAACATTGGTTTAAATTTGAACCCATCAACAATATTTACCGATTTTGAGACCGCAGCACAAAATGCCGCAAGGATTGTTTTTAATTCTGATGTTAAAGGGTGCATGTTTCATTTTCGCCAGGCCATTTGGAAAGCTGTTCAACGTTGTGGACCCCAGACATTATTCCGGGACAACCGCATCAGCTTTGCCACTGATAAGAATGTGTGATATCGAGGACTTTTGGTTCTTTGCTTTGGAAGCTGTAGATTTAAACATTCCACAAGTAGGGCGGTTCGCTGATTATATGACGGAGCAGTGGGTTGATAACAATGGCCGTAATGTGTGGAACCATTTTGATACAACAGGGCCCCGTACTACCAATCACGTAGAAGGTTGGCATTCTAAGTTGAATAAAATGACAGCACGCCATCCTAATATTTACAAGTTCATTAACTTAATCAGGGGCGGAACTAGGAATTATAAAAGATAGGTTGCCAGGCAACTAAACATACGCCCACAGCAGCTAACTCGTCCGAGCAGTCGACAAGGGTTGTCACATATTTATTCTTTTGTAGGTAATTAGGGGAATTTAATAGACAATTTCATACAGATGACATTATAATTTTTGTCGTTTGAGGGTTCACAAGGTTCTAAAAACTAAAACAAGGGCTGTAACTCTGGAAGTAATCTACAGAAATTGTCCATTTTACTAATTCAAATAATGCATATAAATTTCATACAGATTGGATGATAACTTTTGTCGTTACAGCATTTACAGGGTACAACAAAGTGAAACAAGGGCCACAACTCACGACGTAATTAGCGGAAATTGGTGAAATTCAATAGGCTTCTTCGTTTCATTAATTTAAATGATGCATATCAATTTCAAACAGATCGGATGATAACTGTTGACATTAGAGCGTTCACAAGATTCAACAAAGTGAAACAAGGGCCATAACTCTAGATGTAATTAACGGAAATTGCTGAAATTCAATAGGCTTCTTTGTTTTACTAATTTAAATGATGCATATAAATTTCATACAGATTGGTTGATAACTTTTGTCGTTAAAGCGTTCACAAGGTGCAACAAAGTGAAACAAGGGCCATAACTCCAGAAGAAATTAACGGAAATTGCTGAAATTCAATAGGATTCTTCATTTCACTAATTTAATTGATGCATATCAATTTCAAACAGATCGGATGATAACTGTTGTCATTAGAGCGTTCACAAGATTCAACAAAGTGAAACAAGGGCCATAACTCTAGATGCAATTAACGGAAATTGCTGAAATTCAATAGGCTTCTTTGTTTTACTAATTTAAATGATGCATATAAATTTCATACAGATCGGTTGATAACTTTTGTCGTTAGAGCGTTCACAAGGTGCAACAAAGTGAAACAAGGGCCATAACTCCAGAAGAAATAAACGGAAATTGGTGAAATTCAATAGGATTCTTCATTTCACTAATTTAAATGATGCATATCAATATCATACAGATCCGTTGATAACTTTTGTCATTAGAGCGTTCACAAGATTCAACAAAGTGAAACAAGGGCCATAACTCTAGATGCAATTACAGAAATTGATGAAATACAATAGGCTTCTTTGTTTTACTAATTTAAATGATGCATATACATTTCATACAGATCGGTTGATAACTTTTGTCGTTAAAGCGTTCACAAGGTGCAACAAAGTGAAACAAGGGCCATAACTCCAGAAGAAATTAACGGAAATTGCTGAAATTCAATAGGATTCTTCATTTCACTAATTTAAATGATGCATATCAATATCATACAGATCGGTTGATAACTTTTGTCATTAGAGCGTACACAAGATTCAACAAAGTGAAACAAGGGCCATAACTCTAGATGTAATTAACGGAAATTGATGAAATTCAATAGGCTTTTTGTTTTACTAATTTAAATGATGCATATAAATTTCATACAGATCGGTCGATAACTTTTGTGGTTAGCGCGTTCACAAGGTGCAACAAAGTGAAACAAGGGCCATAACTCCAGCAGAAATTAACAGAAGTTATTGAAATTAAATAGGCTTCTTCATCTCACTAATGCAAACAACATATATCAATTTCAAAACAATCTGTAGAGTGTTCACAAGAAATTGTGGACAATGGACGGACGGACGGACGGGGGCGACGGCAATATACGACCACATTTCCATGTGGGCGTATAAAAAGGGGGGGGGGCACTGCAAAATGAAGGCATTGACCGCGGAGACCGGGCACGCCGCTGGGGGGGGGGGGGGGGGTCTCCAAGAAAATTATCCGTCATTACCTTGCATCTGTAGCCATTCCAAGATCTATTTCCCAGACTGGTGTGTTTGAGTCGATGGTTTGAGTCATTTGGGATCCCTACAACGGGTTGGGAACGGACAAGTGTAAATCGGTATGGAACAAATATTTCCTATTTAGTGGGGCTGTAAAATGATTGTTATGTTGTAAGGCATTTATTTATAAATTATATAATGCTATTTAATAAAAGTTAAATGTGTAAATTGTAATGCATTTTTATATGTGTAAATCATTTAATGTTATTTAATAAATATTAAATTTGTTAAAATCAGTATATTTTTTATATGTGTAAGCTATTTAATGTTATTTAATAAAAGTTAAATTTGTTAAAATCAATACAGTTTTAGTCTTAAAAAAGATATGGACTATAGTTTATAACACCATATTGTTCTAGGATTAACTCTGGATTAGTGCCAAAATTTGACATCAAAGCCTGCCGGCTAAGTGGGAACACCCCCATCATTCATCTATTAAAATGGCAATGGGACCATCCATTAAACTAACCAGCGGCTGCCAGGCAGGATAAGCCCACATTTTCGAGAGATGGATAGAGAACAAGCTAAAATGAAAGTGATTTTTCCTACAATCAAGGGCCATAATTCAGGAAATTACAATTCGATATGCGCAAATATCGAAAGAAACCGAGATCTTTGGGTTATAAACTTACATTTCAAGTTTCAACAAAATCGGATAAAAATTGTGACCTTGATTTACCATATTTGTACGCTATTTGAGAACGAAGGGCGGCCATTTTGTCTGTCAGTTTTGGGCCGATTTTCACGAAATTCGAACTCAGCTGTCCTTAGGGTGTAACAGTGATATAATAATACAGTATTTTAAATCGGATAAAAATTATGACCTCTATATGGTCCACAAGCTAAAAACGTGATTTTTCGTACAATCAGGGGCCATAATTCAGGAAGTTACAGTCCGATATGTGCAAATATCAAAAGGAACAAAGATCTTTGGATTATAAACTTACATTTCAAGTTTAAACCAAATCGGATAAAAATTGTGACCTCTATAGGGTCCACAACCTTGATATACCATATTTTTGCGCTATTTGAGAACGAAGGGCTGCCATTTGGTTTTGTCAGTTTGGGGCCGATTTTCACGAAATTCGAAATCAGTCGTCCTTAGGGTGTAACAGTGATATAATAATAGTTTTTTTTTTTAAATCGGATAAAAAATTTGACCTCTATAGGGTCCACAAGCTAAAAACGTGATTTTTCGTACAATCAGGGGTCATAATTCAGGAATTTGCGGTCCGATATGCACGAATATCAACAAAGATCGGTTGCAAGACAACAAAACATACGCCCACAGCAGCTAAATCGTCCGAGCGATCGACAAGGGTTGTCACATACTTATTCCTTTGTAGGTAATTGGGGGCCTTTACAAGACAGTTCCATACAGATCAGATTATAATTTTTGCCGTTTGAGGGTTCACAAGGTTCTACAAATTGAAACAAGGGTCTCAAGTCTGGAAGTAATCTACAGAAATTGTTGAAATTTGACAGGCTTTTCGTTTCACAAATTTAAATGATGCATATAAATTTCATCCATCGAGCATTAACAAGGTTGAACAATGTGAAACAAGGGCAATAACTCAATTGCTGAAATTCAATAGGATTCCTCTCTTTACTAATTTAAATGACGCATGTAAATTTCATACAGATCGGCGGATAACTTTTGATGTTAGACCATTCACAAAGTTCAATAAAGTGAAACAAGAGCCATAACTCTGGATGTAATAAACAGAGAAATTGCTGAAATTCAACAGGCTTCTTTGTTTCCCTAATTTAAATATTGCATATAAATTTCACAAAGATCGGATGTTAACTTTTGGCATTAGAGCGTTCACAAGGTTCAATAAAGTGAAACAAGGGCCATAACTCTAGACGTAATACACAGAAATTGCTGAAATTCAATAGGCTTCTTACTTTTACTAATTTAAATAATGCATATAAATTTCAGAAAGATAGGATGATAACTTTTGGGGTTAGAGCGTTCACAAGATTAAACAAAGTGAAACAAGGGCCATAACTCTAGAAGTAATAAACGGAAATTGCTGAAATTCAATAGGCTTCTTCGATTACCTAATTTTAATATTGCATATAAATTTCACAAAGATCGGATGTTAACTTTTGGCATTAGAGCGTTCACAAGGTTCAACAAAGTGAAACAAGGGTCATAACTCTGGTAGTAATTATCGGAAATCGCTGAAAATCAATAGGCTTCTTCATCTCACTAATACCAACAACATATATCAATTTCAAAACAATCAGATAATAAATGTAGTCTGTAGAGTGTTCACAAGAAATTGTGGATGTCGTACGGACAGGGGCGACGGCAATATACGACCACATTTCCAATGTGGGCGTATAATAAAACATATCGGTTAAAGGTTTGGCGATAAATCTGAAGACCACATTCGATCGACTCCAGCTCGAGGTTGAAACACAAAAGAGACGAATTGACGACAAAAGTTTATTTACAGCTGACATCAATTCATACACAGACACAAAAATAGGTTGCCAGGCAACGAAACATGTGCCCGAAGCAGCTAAGTCTCCTGCGCGGTCGACAAGGGTTGTTGCATATTTGTTCACTTGTAGGTAATTTGGAGCATTTACAAGACAATTTCATACAGATCAGATCATAATGTTTGTCATTTGAGGTTTCACAAGGTTCTACAAACACAAACAAGGGCCTTAACTCAGAAAGTAATTTACAGAAATTGTTGAAATTCAACAGGCTTCTTTGTGTCACTAATTTCAATAGTGCAGATAAATTTCATTCAAATCGGATAACTTTATCATTCGAGCGTTCACAAGGTTCAACGAAGTTAAACAAGCATGATAACTCTAGAAGTAATTATTTGAAATTCAATAGACTTCTTCGTTTCACTAATTTACATTGTGTATATAAATTTAATACAGATCGGATGATAATTTTTATAATGATAATAATAATTTGTACATTTCTACCGCGCACAGTTCCATGCTAGTATGCATGCTCAAGGCGCTACCCAGTCTGGGTGTCATAATAGGCCGTAAATGGACGAGTTTTTAAGTTAGTTTTGAATGGCGTTTATGTTCAGTTGTAATGGTAATAAAAGATCTGCCAGTAAAGCCTTCCTATCTAGCCTAGATAGGAAGGCTTTAATTCTATTCTTAATTTAATTGGCAGGCAATGCATTTTTTTTTTTGAGTGCTGGCATTTTTTTTGAGTGGGACTGATGATTCAGGCTGCAGTATTTTGAACTGTTTGGAGTTTTGATATCAGTTTGTGGGATATTCCAGATAACAAGCTATTGCAATAGTGTAATCTTAAAAAAACGAGCGATCGAACCAGAGTATGAGCTGCGTCGTTGAAGTGTTCACAATGGCCATAACTCCGGAAGAAACTATCAGAAATTACTAAAAATTAAATGGGATTCTTCATGTCACTGGTGTAACAACATATATCAATTTCAAAACAATCGGATGACAAATGTAGTCTCTAGAGTGTTCACAAGAAATTGTGGACGACGGACGTACGCATGGACGAGGGCGGCAGAAATAAAAAAAACACATTTCGATATGGGCGTATAAAAAAAATGAAAAGATACCAATAATAAGTTTAGAAATGTGAAAGAGTCATTAGATTATATATAAGTAAGACATTCTAATTAATACTAGAAAAAAGATCAAATAAGTATAATGAAGCATTAAAATAAATTTATCTATTTACATTTACCAATTACCGCATAAAGATATAAACATATATACCCTATACATGGCTGCAGATCTTAATAAATTTTAGGGGGGGACGGAGCCTGACAAATGGCTCGCGCCACAGGCGCGAACTGTTCTGTTGGGGGTCTGGGGGTCCTCCTCCAGAAAATTTTAAAAGCAGGATGCCTGAAAACGCTATCATTTCTGAGCATTCTGCAGAGATGAACATACCGAGAATAAATTGTCGTTATTGAGGGAGAATATTACAAAAGTTAAAAATATTTATTATTAAACTTTAAAAATATAAACAGTAAACCACAGATGATATGGACTGATTAATCAAAGAAGTCCTCGCAATATAGGGATATAGGTAGGCTACTATATTGCCGGTAACGGATGAAAATGTGATGAATAATTTCTCAAGTGGCCAGCTCTGAGCATAAGCTGCTGACGTCATGAAGAGATCATTTTTGAACCAAGGGGAAATATCCTCAGCCTGAAAATAGGACTCAAGTTTTGGGAGACGCTGACAGAGTACGGCGGGCGAAGGCATACGCCACATGCGCTACAGGCGCGAATTTAGTGGGGGTCTTGGTGCCTTCCACGGAAGATTTTTTAAAATTAGGATGCCTCAAAATGTTATCTGAGACCATTTCCCGGGCTGAAAATAAGACTTTTGAAATTTTATCGATGCATTTTTCTGGGGGGGACGAGGCAGTGAAAATTTAGGGGGATCTGCGGCCTTGACCTATAACATATTTTTGAAGTATTAGTAAAATAGTGGCTAAAAGAAAATATTCTACTATGTATACAAGATAATTGGAGAAATGTTGGTCATAATATTACTGTAGCACTAATCAATTATTAGACTAGCGAGTTATTGCCAACAAATCTTTGCCTTCTTCTAACTTAGGCATAGTTGGAATATTTGAATCACGAAGCCTCAATGCAGTCCTTTTTATTTTAAAGTTATTTTGAAAACCTGGATAACTTATTAGTCCAAAGTCTTGCTCAAATATCCCTAAAAAGACCTTCATTCGATTAACCATTCCACAAACAGAAATACCTAACTGACCGTGTGGACCCATCTTTGATCTAACCCCTTCAGCACTTACATTTGGAATAAACAAATATAATTCTTCTTTTGTAAAGCCTAAAAGTTTACGAGAAACCATTTCAATTCCTTCAAATTGTTCCGTCGTTTCTGTAAAATTACTGTTTCTCGTGGACAGCTGTAAGCTTATATCATTCCAAAAGTGTAAAAGACTGAAATCCTCAGGAGTTTCTTTCAAGGAAGGATTTTGTGAATTGATCATTTTATAAAACCATTTGACAAATGATTCTGCAAATTCCTGACCAGTAGCAGATGAACTATTGGTGATGAATTTATCACTGGTTGGTTGGTTTATCTGAAAACTACTTTCTTTGTTTTGACATACTGGTACTGGATTGTCTGGACCTGGCAAAGTTTTAGTCAAACCCTCAATTATACTTTGATTACCTTGTACTACATTTACATTTACGTTAAGAGCTGTTGATTGTGATGAAGTGGTGGTGGCAGTATGTCTGGGTTTGTTATACAGCTGAAATTAACAATTATAACGTGTGAGAGATCAAATTTAAATTACATTGCTTTTATTTACATACATGTATGAATGAATGCCTCATGGGAGGAGGAAACTTTTTCCAGCTTTCCAGCTGCAAATTCCCATTGCCAAGGGACATTTATATGCACTTTGAAATGAAATGGGGCTTGATGAATACAGTCATATGCAACACACCGTGAAAGGATCTTTAAACTGTCAATATGAGAGTTTGACACAGACTGTTTGGTCAAGTTAACACTTTTTTTTTATAAATTCCTCATAGCAATACATAAGCCCAACATGCAATATCAAAGATTTTGTAGATTGGCATACAAAGTATGTAAATTACCCTAACAAGCGGTTGCCAAGCAAGATACTCCCCATTTTGCAAGAGACGGACAGAGACCAAGCTCAGGAAAGCGACTTTTCGTACAACCAGGGGCCATAATGCAGGAAGCGAGGGTCTGATGCGAGCAAGTATCGTAAGGAACCCAAATCTTTGGGATATTAACATAATATTTTAAGTTTCATAAAAATCAGATAAAAATTGTGACCTCTAGCGGGTCCACAACTTTGGTATTGCATACTTTTACACAATATAAGTACGGCGAGCAGCCATTTTGTCAGGCAGCGCCCCCGTGAGACAAAGTCCCCTCAGACCCAGTTCCAAATTACATATTATCAATTACATAAATATCATACAAAGCTGTCTGAAATTGTTTCGCGCCTTAAGGGCTCGATTCCATTAAATCATTCTTACGCTCTTGATCTGTGGTCTTGTACCCTCACACCACTATCATATTCACGGTTATAGTGAATCGCCCTGTTAGTAGTAGCACTAGTAAGTGGGTCATGGATGGACAGACTATAGATTATGTTCTCAGAAAACATGCGCAATTAACATGCAGGCCTCGAGATTCTGTTCCATATCTTATCCTCTCGTTCACAAGAATTTGCTCCATCAGTGAAATCAAATGGCAGGAAATTTAGGCCCAGTCCCAAAAAAAAATAAAAAAAATGAAAAGCTTAATTAAAAGTCAGTATTTTGTTGACATTCACAATTCACTATGGAGTGGGAATTGACACAAAAGGTAAAAATTTGAATTTTCAAAAACATCAGGGACCATAATCCATGAAATTACGATCCGATATCTACACTATTTGTGCACAGAGAGAAGTCATTTTATCAGGCAAGTTTTGGTCCGATTTTCACAAAATTAGAACTGGGCCAACATTTTTTTAAAGCAAATAAAAATTGTGACCTCTAGAGGGCCCACAAGCTAAAAATATGATTTTTCATATAATTAGGGACTATAATCCAGGTAGTTACGTTCCGATATATGACCTTATCAGACGGAACTGAGATCTTTGGGTTATAAACATACATTTTAAGTTTCATCAAAATCGTGACTTTTCATTTTCATACAATCAGGGGCTAAAAACATGCTAAAACAAGCTAAAGACATGATTTTTTGTACAACCAGGGGCCATAATCAATGAAGTTACGTTCCAATACACGCCAATATCAAAAGGGGCACGATCTTTGGGATATTATAAACCTTTAGTTTAAGTGTCAAAAGCGGATAAAAATTGTGACCTGTCGAGTGTCCACAAACAAAATGTGAAAGGACACACGAAAGGACGGACGGACAATATACGTCCACGTGAAATTGAAGGCCAAATAAAATGCAAGCATCTGAAATGCAAACTAATGAAAGGCAAAACAAAATAAAAATGAAACAAGGCAACAGTGAGGCTAATGTCCCCCGCCGAAATCCTAAAATAAATAGATGACACATATTAATTAATCGCACATTTATTTTTTTCAAAAGTATCGAGCAATCAAACTACACACTAAGTTTCATCACTCTCTAACACATAGAATCAAGATTATCTTCTCCCAAAGCATTGACCAATGAAATTGATTAGCTCTGCTTAGCTTTAGTTTGAAATGTTAATCATTGAAATCAGTCAAGACATTCACCTAATGATCATCTACATCAAGTTTAAACATTCTACCTCAATTAAAACCAGAGTTTTTATGTTCCAAAGTCTTGACCAATCAAATTGCTTATCGTTCCTTAGCCCAGTCAGAAAATTTGCACAATCGAACTTAGTCAAGGTAATGATATAATGAATCTATATTCAGAGTGTCATCGCTCTCACTTCATTATAACCAAAGGTATCGTGCCCCTAAAGCATCAACCAATCAGATTGCTTATCTCTGCCTACCGTAAGCAGACAATGTTCATCTTCGAACTCCATCAAGGGATTCACCTAATGAATGCCTACACCAAGTTTGAACATTCTACCTCAATTAGAAGGAGAGTTATTGTGTTCCAAAGTCTCGACCAATCAAATTGCTTATCGCTCTGCTTACCCTCAGCAGAAAATGTTCATTATAGAACTTAGTCAAGGTATTGATGTAATAAAGCTATACACCAAGTGTCCTCACTCTCATTTAATTAGAACTAAAGTTATCGTGTCCCAAAGCATCAACCAATCAAATTGCTTATCTCTGCTTCCCCTAAGCAGAAAATGCTCATCTCCGAACTCCATCAAGGCATTGACCCAATAAACACCTACACCAAGTTTGAACATTCTAGCTCAATTAGAATGAGAGTTATTGTGTTCCAAAATCTTGGCTAATCAAATTGCTTATAGCTCTGCTTACCCTGAGCTGAAAATACTCATTATCGAACTTAGTCAAGGTATTGCTGTAATGAAACTATACACCAAGTTTCATCATGTGTTCCAAAGTCTCGATCAATCAAATTGCTTATCGCTCTGCTTACCCTCAGCAGAAAATGTTCATTATCGAACTTAGTCAAGGTATTGATGTAATAAAGCTATACACCAAGTGTCCTCACTCTCACTTAATTAGAACTAAAGTTATCGTGTCCCAAAGCATCAACCAATCAAATTGCTTATCTCTGCTTACCCTAAGCAGAAAATGCTCATCTTCGAACTCCATCAAGGCATTGACCCAATAAACACCTACACCAAGTTTGAACATTCTAGCTCAATTAGAATGAGAGTTATTGTGTTCCAAAATCTTGGCTAATCAAATTGCTTATAGCTCTGCTTAACCTGAGCTGAAAATACTCATTATCGAACTTAGTCAAGGTATTGCTGTAATGAAACTATACACCAAGTTTCATCACTCTCACTTTATTAGAACTAAAGTTATCGTGTCCCAAAGCATCAACCAATCAAATTGCTTATCTCCGCTTACCCTAAGCAGAAAATGCTCATCTTCGAACTCCATCAAGGTATTGACCTAATAAACACCTACACCAAGTATGAACATTCTAGCTCAATTAGAAAGAGTTATTTTGTCCCAAAAAGTGTGACGGACAGACAGACAGACAGACAAACGGATGCACGGACAGACCGACGACCCCATTTTAATAGTCCCCTGCTTTCTTCGAAAGGCGGGGGACAAAAATAGAAACAACTCAAAATCAAAACGTCACTTTAAAATTCTAAATCATTCAAGTTCACATAAGAAAAGATTTTATTGTACTGAAACATCCATGCAGGGCAGCATAGTTATGGTAGAGGACTTTCAGTTCTGATCTTAATCTAGTCTCAATTAAAGCATTTATTTCTAAAGTGAAGAAATTGTCTACATCTAAAGTTTACAATAAAACATTAGTGAAAATTTATTAATTTTTTAAAATTAGGAAGATTTCATTAAAACCATGATTTATTTTTACATTTATGGCCAAAACCTCAAAATCGAACGTTAATTTTATTGTACGAGGGTAAATATTAACAGTTTTTAGCTGCCAATGCTTAAGGGGTTCATGAAAATATTTTATTAATTAGGAAAGCATTTTTTAATTGATTGGGTTTATGGAAATAATTTACTAATTATTTACTTAATGAACAAATGGCTACTCAGATCAAGAATATCTTACTATTTCATCAAAGAGTAATCAGTTAGTTTGTACTGTTCCTAAATCCAAAATTAAAGAAAGAGCATTCTCTGGTCAAAAAGATTGGAACAAAATACCCAAAACTGTACAGAATAGCCCCAATATATAAACTTTCAAGAAACGTTTAAAAACAGAATATTTTCAATTTTAATTATAAAGATAGGTTGCCAGGCAACGAAACATACGCCCACAGCAGCTAAATCGTCCGGGCAGTCAACAAGACTTGTTTGGTTTTTATAAAGTTCTGCCCCATGCTAACGTTTTGTATACAAAACTTTTAATACTGTATCATGGATTTAGCTGTTCCAAGTCATAAAAATTCATTGAAAATCAATATACTTGTTCGTCTCAAGATCTTAAACTCTGTGTATCAATATGAAGTCAATCGGATATTAACTTTGGCCTCTAGAGCGTCCACAAGATTTTTCAAAGTGATCAAGGGCCATAACTTTGGCAGTAATTATCAGAAATCGCTGACAATCAATAGGCTTCTTCGTCTCATGACCTTAAACACTGTGTATAAATTTAAAGTCAATCGGATATTAACTTTGGCTTCTAGAGCGTCCACAAGATTTTTTGAAGTGATCAAGGGCCATAACTCTGGCAGTAATTATTGGAAATCGATGAAAATCAATAGGCTTCTTCGTCTCATGGCCTTAAACACTGTATATAAATTTAAAGTCAATCGGATATTAACTTTAGCCTCTAGAGCGTCCACAAGCAATTGTGGATGCCGGACGGACGGACGGGGGCGACGACAATATACGACCACATTTCAATGTGGGCGTATAAAAATTAAATTTATCTTATATTTTGTGTATGAAGCCCCTCAAGTTTATGTATGTCTATAATTGATTGTACACTCTAGAAAATGATTATTATTATTTGGGCTTACTGAAGGGGTTTTTGAAAAAAAAAAAATTACTAACAGATTTAATGAAAATATTTTACAAATAAATAAATTTTACTTATTGTAGAAATGTAATGATCAAATGGTTGGTTACCTTGAATAAATAAATCTTATTGTTTGGGATTTATGAAAATATAGTGAAGATTGGGGTTTATGAAAGTATTTCACAAAAGCTTAATAAAACTAAGCAAAACCAACAGAAAAAGCGGGATTAACGATAACTGATTGTATTGTCAGTCGCACCTTCTTTTTTTTTTCTTTTATAATTGTTTGATTCGGTTGACCACTTTCTTCGCCAGACTTCAATTTCTTAATCTTCTTTGGTGTCTAAAAGTGAAGGGAGAAGATATTGCCATAAATATAAGAACAATCAACAAACTTTAAAACCTTTATATTCCAAATTTACTATTACAATCATTATTTTAAAGATATTTTCAAAAAGTTAAATGTTCTAGCTTCCCTTTAAAGTATAAGTACAGTGGACTCTGTCACATCCAATGTCTGATCACTCCGGATTGCTGTGACATCTGACATGATTTTCATGTCCCGATTTATTTTCTTATTACATCAGCCAAAAAAATCGCTGGTAAATCCGGATTCTGTATGTTCCGGATTACGACATCAATCAGCCGTCCCGTCACATAATTTCCATTGAATCGACACCGTATAATCCGTACTTCAAACGGTGGGTGTGAAGTATCCAATTATCGGTGAGATTAAAACTCAATGGGTGTGAAGCCAGAAAAGATTAACAAACAATCACCAATCAATTATCGGTGAGATTAAAACTCGCAAGGGCCGGTCTGTGTTGATTACTTTGATAATGTTATAAATTCTTTGTTGATTATTTTACAATTTATAATCTCTTGTAAGAGTGCGCTTGGTATTTGATTTTAATTACTCATGTAAAATACCGCGACATAATATAAAAATTGCCGCGATTGAAGAATCATTATACATTATTGTATTCAAAATGTCTGAACGTCCTGCAAAGCGTGCCCAAACAGATTTGACATTAGATGTAAAGCGGCAACTTATAGCAGATTTCGAGAAAGTTCCACGACCTGCGCAGAAGGAATTAGCCATTAAGTATTCAATTGGCCGAGCTACAGTGTCAGACATATTAAATATATTGTACGCATGCATTGGTATTGTTAATTATTTAATGTAATGAAATTTTGAAAGTACAGAAAGGTTTATCATTTTTAAAGGGAATAGCATTCTGGTGATTCGAAGCTACAATATAAAAATACTTCCTGTTTTCGAAGTTACAGTATTTCCGGTTTTGGAGAAAGCTTGGTATTCCGACACGCTGTGTGATCTGAAATATTGTAACGATCCTGTACGATGTCGGATGTGACAGAGTCCACTGTATATTATTTTAGTCGCAATATCAAAAAAAAACATTGTGTCATTAACAATTCAAACTTTCCATTGATTTTCAATAATCATAATTTAAAGATATTTTCAAAATGTTAAAGCTTCCCTGTAAAGTATATATATTCAGTTCATAAGCGTTATAATCATACTATCAACAAGGTAAAAACATTGTGTCAACTCCAAAAATAACTCCACCATGACATGATTTAAAGGTTTCTTATTCACACAAAAATGTTATAATTAAAAAAGCGGTGGCCATGCTAATATTTGGAATCTAGAAATTGATACAATGGGTGGCAACGCATATAATAATGCAATATGGTTGTATATAACTCATTTACATTTAATCGTTACTGTAATTTCTAATCAGGTATGTTCGGCGAAATAAGCCAGAAGTCTCAATCGAATGGCAATTTCTAACGATAGTATTTATTGCACATACTCTCCAGATAAGAATACGATGTCACCGTTTAACATGAATCGTGGTTGTCTATAGCCTATGTTCTTTGAGTCCCTTGGTTACAAATGGTGTTGAAACGCATTATGGAACACGATTCATGTACCAACGGTAAAATGTTTTTTTTGTCTTAAATATTAGATATCAGAAGTCATCTTTTCCCGGTAAGATCACATCAATGTTAATTTATATTGGCAAATAATTCGTGTTTTCAATGTCGAAGACTTTGGACGATATTGAGTTCGAGACTTAGCTACTTTAAGTTTCATTGAAATCAGATAAAAATGTGACCTTTACAGGGTTCAAAACCTATTTGCGTACAGGGAGTGGCCATTTTGTCAGGCAGTTTGGTCCAATTTTCATGAAATTTGAACTCAACTATTATTATTGTGTAACGGTGAAAAATGTATTACATCCCAGAAAGGAACTGAGATCTTTGTGATATAAACATAAGCTTGAAGTTTAAACAAAAAATCGGATCAAAATTGTGAGCTCTTGAAGGTCCACAACCTTGATTTACCATACTTTTAAACTATTTACACTACGAAGAACGGACCTTTTCGTCCGATTTAACGAAATTCGAACTCAACTGTCATTATGGTGTACCAGTGATATATTTGAATGTTTTTTTTAAATCGGTTTTAAAATTTGAACACATTTTTTTTTTAAACAATCAGGGCCCATAATCCAGGAAGTTACAGTCCGATATGTATAAACATCGAAAGGAACCGAGATCTTGGCTTATAAACATACATGTCAAGTTTCATAAAAATCGGATAAAATTTGTGACCTCTATAGTGTCCACAAGCTAAAAACGTGATTTTTCGTATAATCAGGGGCTATAATTCATGAAGTTATGGTCCAATACATGCCATTTCGAAAGGAACCGAGATCTTTGAGAGATAAACCTATATTTTAAGATTGGTCAAACTTGTTTAAAATTGTGACTTTTGGACGGACTTATTTGGGATTTATGAAAATATAGTGAAGATTGGGGTTTATGAAAGTATTTCACTTGTGGGGTTTATATACCAGTAGGTTCATTAACTGAATGGTGTTTATGAAAATATTTTACTGACAGATTTTATGAAAATATTTTACTCATCAAATATATTTTATTAAATGGGTTTTATGAAAATATTTACTGATGATGATTTTGGCAAATATTTACGGATCAGGGTTCTTAATTTTTTTAGATGAAAACTTAAACTAAAATATTTAATTGGTTGAGATTTGAAATCCTAGAACAAATTTTAGCTCTAGGCCAACGAAAGGGCAGAATGCTTAAAATATTCACAGAATTTATAAAAATATTTTATTTACTGTGTTTTATGAAAAGTGTTTCACATGAGGGGTATAACATATTTTATAGAATCATGGAGTCTCACTTGGGGAGATAATTAGTAAAACTAAAATAAAACTAAGCAAAGCCTACAGAAATATCAGGATTAACAGGAACAGATTCTGTTTTCTTCGGCACCTTCTTTATTTTTTCTTTTACAGTTGGTTGAATCTGTTGATTACTTTCTTCGCCAGTCTTCGAAGCAGGATTAACAGGAACTGATTGTGTTTTCTTCGGCGACTTCTTTATTTTTTCTTTTACAATTGTTTGATTCTGTTGATCACTTTCTTTGGCAGTCTGAAAGTATTTCACAAAAGCTTAATAAAACTAAGCAAAACCAACAGAAAAAGCGGGATTAACGATAACTGATTGTGTTGTCAGTCGCACCTTCTTTATTTTTTCTTTTACAATTGTTTGATTCTGTTGATCACTTTCTTCGGCAGTCTACAATGTCTTCTTCTTTGGTGTCTAAAAGTGAAGGAGGAAGATATTGTCATAAATATCAAAAGAATCAACAAACTTTAAAACCTTTGTATTCCAAACTTACTAATAGAATCATTATTTTAAAGATATTTTCAATCAATATCTCTGTCTATAATATATATTTACATGTCGATTTTTATTATTATATTTGTCATTTTATTTGTTTGAAACTTTATATTTTATTTGTCTGTCACTTTATGTTTCTTTTGTTTGTGATTTTATATTTTATTTGTTTATGATTTTATATTTTATTTGTTTGTGATTTTATATTTTATTTCCTTGTCAATTTATATCTTATTCCACTTGTTGCAATTATTGTAAAGCGCTACTTAACACTTCTAGTAAAAGCAGCGCTATATGAATACTTGTATATAATAATAAGAAGAAGAAGAAGAAAAATAATATGTTAAAATGTTCTAGCTTCGCTTTAAAGTATAAGTATTCAATTCATAATTGTTATAGCCAAAATACCGACAAGGTAAAAACATTGTGTCAATAAAAGTTCAAATTTTTTATTGATTTTCAATAAACACTATTTTTAAAGTTAATATGGTACAAAAATATCCCCACCATTTACAAAACACTGAAATCTGATTACGAGTAACAACCCATTAAATAATTATCAGAAATCATTATAAGTTGTTTCGGTTGTTTGTCTCAAGACCTTATACACTGTGTATAAATCTATTAACTTTAGCCTCTAGCGCATCGACAAGATTACTAAATTGATCAAGGGCCGTAACTCTGAAAGTAATTATCAGAAATCATTTAAAAGCAATAGGCTTCTTATAGTCAATCGGAATCGGATAATAACTTAAGCCTCTAGTCAGTGGCAGCGCCAGGGGGGGGGGGGGAAAGGAGGGCATTCCCCCCCCCCCCATCAATCTGGTCGGTCCTCTGTTTTCCGCCCCCCCCAATAATTTTAGAAAATAAAAAAAGTATTTGTGATATGTTTGGGTAATCAATACCTTCTACGGTGAATAAATCCCACATCCCCACTCAGTCATAAACTTGCATGTTGTAGAGCATTTCCAAGGACCCCAATGGACTCACTACTTTGGCGCTCACAAGGGGAATTCGTTGAGGTTCGCAAGTCTGTTTGTTTGACATTTTGTTCTCTAGTCGGATAAACTAGTGATCAGGCGATGAACAGTATCTGGGCAGATCTATTTATCTCGACGATCGGTGCCTGACAGAATACTGTAAGACAGCATTTCCAGCAGTCTAATTTTCAAAATTTTCTGGGGGAGGACTCCCTACTTTGACGCTCGTGAGTGGGCTTCGTCGTGATTCGCAAGTCCGTTCGTTTGACATTCTACCTCATCGATCAGTGCCTGAAAAACTGACAGGCTGCATTTCCGGCAACCTGTTTTTCAGGTTTTTAGCTTGTGGACCCTATAGAGGTCATAATTTTTACCCGATTTAAAAAAACGTATTATCATATCACCGTTAAACCCTAAGGACAGCTGAGTTCCAATTTCATGAAAATCGGCCCAAAATTGACAGATAAAATGGCCGCCGTTCGTTCTCAAATAGTGTAAAAATATGGTATATCAAGGTTGTGGACCCTATAGAGGTCACAATTTTGATACGATTTTGATGAAACTTGAAATGTAGCAAAGCAGAATTTTAATATGTTTATAGGTTTTATTATGTCAAGTAATATAGTGTATTGAGTAAGTGCACCTTTAAACTAAAAAACTGACACTAATTTTACTTGCAACTGGTCTATAATAACATCTCTCCTTTAACTTGGCTTGTTAACCTGTACTGTTTTCTTAGAGCCCAAATCTTGGGGTGAGTACAATTCTACTCCCTTGGTTACAAGCAAGTTTTCTTTTTATCTAAACCTCACTTTGTACATCAGACATTAGATAGATTTCGAAGTGTAAGGACAATTTGATATCTTCAATCAAATTGTTTAACTTTATTTTCCAAATCTAGTTAGGTTATTTTCAGAGAATTGTTCCAGTTATACTACTTCTGTATTACAGGTTTGTGTGCTAATTCTCTTATTTTGGGTAATTGGGATTTAGATGGAGCGGATGTAGGAATGATAGAAATTGTATTATGAAGCAGCCATTTTATTTAAATAGATAGAATATAACATGTAAAGATCATTAGTTTTTCATATATACATATATATATAGTAGATTATAAGGTACCGTTTTGAAAGTATATTGTATGTATAATCAGAATAATGTTATTTTCCAGAATATAGTTATCTGAAGATTTTGTTCACCATCTTGATAGTCTTATTTAAAAACCCCTTCTTTGGGTATGTCATCAATTACTTATATTATATTTAGTATAAACTTAAGGCATATTTAATATATTTAATTTAATTAGTGATGTATTTTAGTGTATAAAATATTGATATATTTCATCATTAAGTATGCATGCCTTACCATTATTTTATTGTACTCAACTGTTACTGTGATATGTATATTAATTTTAATGTATATATATTTCAGGGTTTTTAATAAAGGTTTAAAAACTAAACACCTTAGTTTTTATTGAGAATTTACACCCCCTGGTTACAGAAATACATATTTATAACCCAAAGATCTTGGTTCCTTTCGATATACTCACATATTGGATCATAACTTCCTGAATTATGGCCCTTGATTGTACGAAAAGTTGCGTTTTTAGGATGTGATCCCTCTAGATGTCACAATTTTTATCCGATTTAAAAAAACGTTTGAATATATCACTGTTACACCCTTGTGATGGTTGAGTCCAAATTTTGTACAAATCGGTCCAAAACTGCCTGACAAAATGGCTGCCCATCGTATGCAAATATTGTAAATATGTGGTATATCAAGGTTTTGGACCCTCTAGAGAGAGGACACAATTTTGATCCGATTTTGTTGAAACTTGAAATACATGTTTATAACCCAAAGATCTTTGTTCCTTTCAATATTCATGCATATCGGATTGTAACTTCCTGAATTATGGCCCTTGATTGTACAAAATAAAAATCACTTCTTTTTTTGAGCTTGTTCTCTGTCCATCTCTTGCAAAATGTGGGTGTATCTTGCATGGCAACCGCTTGTTTGTACAATCAGGGGCTATAATTCAGGAAGTTACGGTCCGATATGCGCGAATATCGAAAGGAACCACGATCTTTGGGTTATAAACTTACATTTCAAGTTTGAACAAAAACGGATAAAAATTGTGACCTCTATAGGGTCCACAACCTTGATATACCATATTTTTACGCTATTTGAGATCGAGGGGAGGCCATTTTGTCTGTCAGTTTTGGGCCAATTTTCACGAAATTTGAGCTCGGCCGTCCTTAGTGTGTAACGGTGATATAATAATACGGTTTTTTAAATCGGATAACCAGCGGCTGCCAGGCAGGATACGCCCACATTTAATCGAGAGATGGTGAGCAAGCTAAAAAGAAAGTGATTTTTCCTACAATCAAGGGCCATAATGCAGGAAATTACAATTCGATATGCACAAATATCGAAAGGAACCGAGATCTTTTGTGTTATAAACTTACATTTCAAGTTTCAACAAAATCGGATAAAAATTGTGACCTCTGTAGGATCCACAACCTTGATATAAAATATTTTTACGCTATTTGAGAACGAACGGCGGCCATTTTGTCTGTCAATTTTGGGCCGATTTTCACGAAATTCGAACTCAGTCGTCCTTAAGGGTGTAACGGTGATATAATAATACATTTTTCTAAATTAGATAAAAATTATGACCTCTATAGGGTCCACAAGCTAAAAAGGCGACTTTTCGTTCAATCAGGGGCCATAATTCAGGAAGTTACGGTCCGATATGCACGAATATCGAAAGGAACCGAGATCTTTGGGTTATAAACTTACATTTCAAGTTTCAACAAAATTGGGTAAAAATTGTGACCTCTATAGGGTCCACAAGCTAAAAACATGATTTTTCCTACAAACAGGGGCCATAATCCATGAAGTTTCGATCCGATACATGCTAATATCGAAAGCAGCCGAGATCTTTTGGAGATAAACCTATATTTCAAGTTTCGTCAAAATAGGATAAGAATTGTAACCTCTATAGGGTCCACAACCTTGATATACCATATTTTTACGCTATTTGAGAACGAACGATGGCCATTTTGTCTGTCAGTTTTGGGCCGATTTTCACGAAATTCGAACTCAGCAGTCCTTAGGGTTTAACGGTGATAAAATAATACGTTTTTTTAAATCAGATAAAAATTATGACCTGTATAGGGTCTACAAGCTAAAAACGCGATTTTTCATACAATAAGGGGCCCTAATTCAGGAAGTTACATTCCGATATGCGCAAATATCGAAAGGAACCGATATCTTTGGGTTATAACTTATGTATGCTTATAACTTATAAGCATACATTTCAAGTTCAAACCAAATCGGATAAAAATTGTGACCTCTACAGTGTTCACAAGCTCAAAACGTGATTTTTCGTACAATCAGAGGCCATAATCCATGAAGTTACAGTCCGATACATGCCAATATCGAAAGGAACCAAGATCTTAACCCTTTCAATGCCAGACGTAAATCCACTGCCTGTGCTAGACCCTTTTTTGAGGAAAAAAGGGAGGTTGGAACTGAATGCCAAGCAGTACTTATGGAAGCTTTTATGAAAAAATTTTTTGTCTGTTGGGATGGGCATGAGGTTGGGCTAAGAGAAAAAAATAGAATTTTGGAAATTTGCATAATAATGTAGTCACGTGACGTCATGGCGGCCATTTTGGATTTCTCATTTCTCACTAAAGCTAACACGAAAACGAATTTTTCTCCATGAAATACTTAAAAGATATTGTTTTTTTCACTGGATTTTGATAAAGATATATAAAATGAACCAAAATATCAATAGCAGCCATGAGCAATGCCGCCACAAACACGCGCATCACGTCTCCCGCTGCCATGACCACGGGCATATTGCAATACCTTGTTTTTACTTTCACTTTCATCCCCAAGTCCCATATCATTATCAATATAGTCAGTCAATAGATCTACACGTTCGGGACTCAGGAATTGCCTACGTCTTTTACAATCCAGCAGGCCAGCATTATTATCAACATCAGAATTATTGTCAGAATCTACTGCAGACACAGGGCTATCGTGTTCACATTGGGCTTGTTCATCATGCACGGGAGACATAGCTATAGCCATGGGCGGAATGTCGCGCAACAAATCACACACTTCATAATACCAATCACTGTCCTGACTACTATCATTATCAAGTAACTGGAAACGAATTATGTGTATCACCCGCCTCGAAATTGTCCACGTGTTGGTCAGCAAGACGTCATTCACGACTTCGTGGAGAGTGCATCGTCTACGTTGTCACTATGCACTCCGCCATTTTACGGTTTGCCGCTTTGAAACACGTGGAAATATGTTCTAGTGTATAGAAAATACAATAGATGGCACTTGCAGTTACGGTACTAATTTTAGCGAGGGCTTTACTGAGTACACGGTAATACCGGGTACATGCATTTTACCGACATTTTATAATACCCGGTACTACCGGGTATACGCAGTGAAAGGGTTAAGGTGATAAACCTATATTTCAAGTTTCATTGAAATCGGATAAAAATTGCGACTTGAAGACTGTTCACAAACAATTGTGGACGGACGGACAGGGGCGACGACAATATATGTCCACATGAAAATGTGGGAGTATAAAAATTGTTGAAAATAGGATTCTTGGTTTAATGACCTTAAACACTGTGTATTAATTTAAGTTTTAATCAGTTATTACCTTTACCATGTAGAGCCTCCACAAGCAATTGTGGACGCCAGCACGCCGGATGGACGAACGGGGGGACAGTAATATACGACCTCTAGAGTGTCCACAAGCAAGCTTAAAACATGAATTTTCATACAATCATGGGCCATAATACATAAAGTACTGATCTGATACATGCCAATATCGAAAGGAACCGAGATCTGTGGAATATAAACCCATATCTCAAATTTCGTTAACAACGTATAAAAATTGTGACCTGTAGGGTGTACACAAACAAATTAAAGACGAACGAAGAATGAACTGGCGCGACAAGAACATACGCCCACAAGAGACACAACAATGACTTTAATTAATGTTAATTACCATTAAACAATCCGGACTGTCTGTTAAATCTGATTTCCATAATTTCAGTATTTCATTCACCATTTGATCTTTTTTGAACGCAGGAGGTACCACAATTGCATTCTCCTGTAGGTATAGACACAAGTAGTTTCGTACTATTTTCGGTCTATTAAGGAAACTTTTAGGTGTATCGCTGTTACTTATGATACATGCGACGACTTCTGAAAGAAACATATATGAAGATTATAGGCTAACCAGTTGTCAAATCTTAAATATTTAGACTCCAAATCATATCAACAATTATCAAAACAAGCGGTTGCCATGCAAGATACACCCATATTGCGCAAGAGATGGACAGGGGAATGGGGAAAATTAATAGGGCTCATCCTTTCAATGTCCCAATGCTTGCTAACTTGCTTTGAAATACTCATGCTGACAAGGGTCCAATCTTAAAAATAGTACCCAACAAACCAGGATACCGTTTAGTTGTGTGTTTTCTTTCAAGTTACCGTCTGATAGTGGTTAAAGATCTGATAGTGGTTAAAGATCGTTTATAACCTGCAAAAGATAGGTTGCCAGGCAACAAAACATAAGCCCACAGCAGCTAAATTGTCCGGGCAGTCAACAAGAGTTGACGCATATTTTTACTTTTTTCGGTAATGAAACATTTATAATATATTAAAATCTGATTAAGAGTAACAACTCATTAAAGTTACAATTTCATATTTTCTAAGAAAGTCAAAACATAATTATTTCTATGTCTTTTGCTCAATAGGTTGTCAACTCACTATTTTACGATCATAGGTTATTTTTCTCACACTTACAAATCTTCACACCGGAAATAATAACACCATTACCTCCCAATTACCTCCCTTGTTTGCCTATTCTCCACCATGGAATAGCTATCTTCAAACGTTTGAATTTGAAGTTGAAAATGATATTTTTGCCAATTTCTCAACTGGCAATAGTGAATTATAGGATTAATCTTTAACAAGGTAGGACTGTTTATAGATACCATCTATTTTAGGGCTTTATTTTAATACATTTTAAACATAAAACGTAAAAATATAAAATTGTCGCTTTAAGTAATTATCAGAAAACCATTAGAATTTTTTTGGTTTTTATGAAGTTCTGCCCCATACTAACGGTTAGTATACGAAACTTTTAACATCATGGGTTTAGCTGTTCAAGTCATAAAGATAGGTTGCCAGGCAACTAAACATACGCCCATAGCAGCTAAATCGTCCAACAGTCGACAAGAGTTGTCGTATATTTGTTCTTTTGTAGGTAATTAGGGGGCATTTAATAGACAATTTCATACAGATGACATAATTTTCGTCGTTTGAGGGTTCATAAGGTTCTAAAAACTAAAACAAGGGCTGTAACTCTGGAAGTTATCTACAGAAATTGTTGAAACTCGACAGACTTTTTCGTTTTACTAATTCAAATAATACATATCAATTTCATACAGATCAGATGATAACTTTTGTCGTTCGAACGTTCACGAGGTTCGACAAAGTAAAACAAGGGCTATAACTCTAGATGTAATTAACGGAAATTGCTGAAATTCAATAAGCTTCTTTGCTTTACTAATCTAAATGATGTATATAAATTTCATACAGATCGGATAATAACTTTTGTCGTTAGAGCATTCACAAGGTACAACAAAGTGAAACAAGGGCCATAACTCACGACGTAATTCAATAGGCTTCTTCGTTTCACTAATTTAAATGATGCATATCAATTTCAAACAGATCGGATGATAACGGTTGTCATTAGAGCGTTCACAAGATTCAACAAAGTGAAACAAGGGCCATAACTCTAGATGTAATTAACGGAAATTGCTGAAATTCAATAGGCTTCTTTGTTTTACTAATTTAAATGATGCATATAAATTTCATACAGATCGGTTGATAACTTTTGTTGTTAGAGCGTTCACAAGGTGCAACAAAGTGAAAAAAGGGCCATAACTCCAGACGAAATTAACGGAAGTTATTGAAATTAAATAGGCTTCTTCATCTCACTAATGCAAACATATATCAATTTCAAAACAATCTGTAGCGTGTTCACAAGAAATTGTGGACAACGGACGGACGGACAGGGGCGACGGCAATATACAACCATATTTCCATGTGGGCGTATAAAAATTCATTGAAAATCAATAGACTTCTTCATCTCATGACCTTAAACACTGTGTATAAATTTAAAGTCAATTGGATATTAACTTTGGCCTCTAGGGCGTCCACACAATCGCTGAAAATGAATAGACTTCGTTGTCGTATGACCTTAAACACTGTGTATAAATTTAAAGTCAATCGGATATTAACTTTGGCCTCTAGGGCGTCCACAAGATTTTTATCAATAGGCTTCTTCGTCTCATGACCTTACACACTGTGTTTAAATTTAAATTCAATTGGATATTAACTTTAGCCTCTAGAGCATCCATAAAGAATTGTTGATGCCGGACCGACGGATGGACGGGGGCGACGACAATATAACACACAAAATAACACCACGAGGTTGGACAGGCGGCCCTACTCCTTGTCACGTACAACCGGTGATTATGATACAGTGCGCACGGGCAAACCATTCGGTCATCTACCCCCCCCCTTCCAAAATTCAGACTTTGGAACCATAAAATAACAATTTAGTTGAAGACCACATGAGACGAGAAAACTCAATTTCGTGTACGTATAGCCAATGGTTACTATATCCACTTTACGGCAAGTTCACAACAATCTGATTAAAATTAGTTGTGTGTGAGTTAGTTGAACTTTACGTCCGCTTCCACGAGGTGATATCGCCGACAATAACATGTTATGTATACATGGTGCTATAATTTACAATGTGAAATAAAGGATTAAAGAATTATTAGATATACATATATATGTACAGAAGACAGTAAAGACGAAACGTTTTATGACAAGTGCAGAATGAGATGGGTGCGAATGGGACAGACATACAAAACAAATATGGAACAAAACAGAGATGAACGTGGACAGACATTTAGACATAGTATGTACATATATATATATTATATATAAGTCGTTTCTGTCGGTCAGGTCGATTTGTCTGGCAGGGAGGTGCACATCTTCCTTGGGGTTTGTTGTTGAATATGGGGCCTGGACCATTCTTCCTTCCCATTTCATCTTCTAGTCCAGTATGGTGGTGGGTGTCATCTTTGATTCTGTTTGTTCTTTCCTTTTATTATTGGTTCTCTGAAGGAAGAATCCAGCACCTGAAAAGAAAGAGGAGAAAGAAAGAGAGAAAAAGAAGAAAAAAAAGGTGTGTTACTTATGGCAGTACTTTCTTTGAAAGATATGAATATGTTAGTAGGTGTTAGTGACATTACAATTTACATACATGAATATATGATTCGATCTACAATCAATGTTTATTTATTTTAAATAAGAAAAAAAAGGAAAAGAGATGAAATAAAATATAACTGAAAAGTAATTGATATTATTTGGACAGGGTGTGTTACGTTTCCCTCTGTGGGGACATTTTTACGTTTTAACCCTGTCGAGTTGTTTTAGTAGTGCAAGGCTGTTGGCGTTTCTCTCTAGGAGACATTTTTGCGCCTCGCTTTGCTATGTGTTTTTAAATTTATTAGTTCATTTATTTAATTTGGTTAAGTAGTGCAGGGTGGTTGGCGTTACCCTCTAGGGGACCTTTTTACGCGCCACCTTGCTGTTGGTTCGTTACCTAGCTTTTGCTTTCGTCTAACATTATATGAATGTTTTCATACCTATACATTCTATGGAGTCCCAGATAAGCTGGGAGGTCCAGTATCTGTCATCTGGGTGTGGGCTGTTAATGTTTAAGTATCCCACACGCCAAATCGCTTTTCAATTATTCAATTACAACCTTAATCCAGTTGATTGGCTGTTGACGCCACAGGCACTACACATAGTATATACATTATCTATAATATATACTATTCAAAAAAAGTAGGGGATATTTGATTTTGGGGGCATAATACTAAAATATGCAAATGACTACGAAAAAAGTCACTATAGAACCTAACAGAAGAAACATTTCCAGTTACATGTGACGCCCAAACGCACCAATAGCTACCGCATGGAATGCAGGTGATGCTTGGGATCATCATGGGGGTCCAACCCAAGATTTGCACCACTCTGACTTTAAATGTTACAGTCATTGTGGCATTGAATTCCAGGGTGGAAACATCAGTTTAATTGTTTTAGTGACCAGAAAACAAATTTTGATATGCGTCGGCTTACCCAAAATGAAAGGTTACGTGCCCTTGGCATGCTACAGATCGGCACAACACAGGCGGTTGTGGCGCGGACGATGAATGTTTCTCAGTCTGTCATAAGCAGACTATGGTCCAGATACCGTGATACACAATCTGTACAGGACAGATCACGCTCAGGTCGACCAAGGGCGACAACTCAAGCCCAGGATCGATTTATCCGTACCTTGGCCTTGAGAAATCGTGTCATCACAGCAAATCAGATCAGCGCTCGTCTTCAAACAGACACTGGTGTGAGAGTGAGTGGCCAGACGATTCGGAATCGACTGCATAGGGGTCACCTTCGTGCCCGACGTCCTCGCGTGATCCCTTGTTTGAGAGATCATCACATTCAGGCAAGACGTCGTTGGTGTAGGGATCGTCAACACTGGGATAATCGACGCTGGAGCAATGTGATGTTTTCAGATGAGTCAAGGTTCACTGTTGATTTTTTGGACAGACGTAGGAGGGTGTGGCGTCGTCGAAACGAGCGCTTCCAAGACGTTAACGTCATCAGACATGATCGATTTGGGGGTGGTTCTGTTATGGTGTGGGGAGGCATCACTGTTGCTGGAAGAACGGCTTTACATGTTGTTGCAGGGCGTGTTACAGGCCAGTACTACCGGGACAACATCTTGGCAGTCCATGTTGTGCCGTTCGCACGACGTCATGGCCGCCGTTTCATCTTCCAGGATGACAACGCAAGATGTCACAGGGCCAGGATCGTTACAGGTTACCTCCAACAACAGAACATCACCACATTACCTTGGCCAGCACTGAGTCCCGACCTCTCCCCCATCGAGCATGTCTGGGACATGCTTGGACAGAGGTTACGTCAACGTCAACAACGTCCTGCCAATGTCCAAGAACTTGCTGCTGCGTTGCAACAGGAATGGGACAATCTGGACCAAAATGACCTTAGACGTCTCATTAGGAGTATGCCACGTCGGATCAATGCTTGTTTGG